CTGGTAACCAACAAAGATTGTTACTTTTTGTGTGTAAACTCTTTCATGGGTTTTTACAATAGAGGTCTCATACAATATTTGTCCTTTTGTGATTGACTTATTTCACTCAGCATTATGTCATCCAGTTTCATCCATGTTATGAGATGCTTCACAGGTTCATCGTTGTTCTTTATCTTTGTATAATACTCCATTGTGTGTATGTACCATAGTTTGTTTCTCCATTCATCTGTTGATGGGCACCTAGGTTGTTTCCATCTTTTTGCTATTGTGAACTAAGCAGGCATTCTTGTCTCGTTTCTGACCTCAGAGGGAAACAGTCAATATTTTACCATTAAATATGATGTTTACTGTAGGTTTTTGAAGAAAATTTCCAGTAGATTAAGGAAGTTCCTTTCAGTTCTTAGTTTGCTAAAAGTGTGTTGTTGTTGTTGATTTTAATCATGAATGGGTGTTGGATCTTGTCAAATGCTTTATCTGCTTCCATTGAGATGATAATATGATTTTTGTGCATTTTTTTAATATAATGCATTACTTTAATTTTTTGTATTTTTGAAAATTTGCATACAGTAAAATGCACAAATATACAGTTTTGAGGAAGGTATACACCTATGTCACTCACACCCCTAACAAGATATAGAACATTTCTGAAATAACACAAAGGACCAGACTATTACATTAGAGCCACATGAATTAGAGATCTTTCCCAGTACCAAGCTTTACTAATAATGGATGCTAACACAAGACCCTGGTGTGCAGGGAAAGGTTTAGGACTGTCAGTACGGCTCCCCAGGTCTTCTTGTCACATCAGGATAAACTCCAGCCCAGATTAGGATATGAGGTCTCTAAGTAGTGGGGTCATATGAGGTCACCATGAATCTGAATCAACTTGACAGCAACAACAAGTAATGGATACAGTATGTTACTTACACAGAAGGGAGCTGTTGTGATCATGAAATGTATCCATTTTACACTTAGTCACATTTTCCATACAGCTTTGTCCCAGGATGATTCACCTTGAATTAATCTTTGTGTATGGTCTGAGGGAGGGGTCTTTTTTTTTTTTTTTAACTAATATTTCAATTTTAAACCACTTATGCATCTCCTGGAATAAACCCCATTTGGTTATACATGTTTTCATTTTTATATGCTTCTGTATGGGTTTGCATGTATTTTCTTTAAAATTTTTCATCTGTATTGACAAGAGAGATTGTTCTGTAATTTTCTTTGTTAAATTACATAAATTGCACACTGTTCTATACCTTGCTTTTGTCACTTAACTATAATTTGGGGTTATCTCTAAACTAATACTTACAGTTTTACCTTTTTCTTTTAAACAGTCCATAGAATGCCATTGTATGAATGTATCATAATTTATTAACCAGTCTTCTGTTGATGGATGCTTAGGTTGTTTCTATCCTTGTGCTAGTAAAAGCAATGCTGCAAGAAATATCCTGCAAATAAAACTGTCAAAAGAAGAGGCTACCAACTCAGTATCTGAAACTAAAAGCTTAATCTGTTGCTTGCTTAAGTGAGGAAGTACTACGAGGACACAGTCTCTCTGAGTAATGCAGAGGGCTAATCTTTCATAGCACTTTTGGGAAATATGGAGCTCTGGGATTGAGGAGCCGTTTAGGAATTGGCTGACCTTTAGCCATGGAAGTAGTTTATTGGAGTGTGGCTTTTGTTGATTGGCTGACTTACAGAAGTGTGAAGCTGTTACTGATTGGCTACCTTTCAAAAACTGTCACTGAAGAGAATTGTCAGTAATTGATGAAGCAGATTAAAGCTGGTTTTAGTGGTTCCTTGTTACTATTGGCAAAGAAGAAACAGTCTGTTCATAGTAGGATAAAAAAAATTATTCTCATAATTTTGCACACATGTTCCAGCGTCTCTGTAAGATAGATTCCTAGAAGTGGATTTTCTGAGTCAAAGATTTTGTCCATTTTTCATTTTGATAGATAGTCCCAAATTGTCTTCCAGAGAGGTTGCACAATTTACACTACTGTCTACAGTGTAGGAGATTGCCTGTTTCTCCACATCCTTGCCAATACTATGGACAAGTCTATGGGTAGGGCAGCCAGGATCTCATACACCCCAAAACACTTGCTTTTGTTTTGCCAAACCTTTCTCTATTCAAAGGGAAAAGGGGTGGAGCTCTTTATTTTGGTCCCATTTTCACCATTGAGAAGACTACATTTCAAGCCAGTTAAAGCTGTTGTTTTGTTTGTTTTTGTTGGTGCTGCCTGTATCTTTTCTTTTAACCTTTTATTCTGAAATCATTATGGATTCATAGGAAGTTGGAAAGATAGTACAGAGAAGTGCTGTGTATCCTTCATCCAGGTTCCCCTAGTGGTTCCATTTTATATAACTATTGTACAATATTAAAACCAGGAAATTGACATTGGGAGAACGTGTGTATACTTCTGTGCCATTTTATCACATGTGTAGATCCATGTAACCATCACTACAATCAAGATACAGAACTATTCCATCACCACAAAGATCTTCCTCGTGCTACCCTTTTATTGTCACACTCACCCCTCTACACCTCCTCCCCCGAGCCCCCAGTCTCTAACCCTTGGTAACTACTAATCTGTTTTCCATATCTATAATGGAACATTCATGACAGCTGGAGAAATGAGTGCATCCCTCCTGGAGGGGGATCTGGGCAGCTCATCACAGTGTCTACTACACCTCTGATTTTCCCATGTCCCTCTCTGGTCTTTTTGCCCTCACCCATAAACTAGAGCCTCTGTAGTTCTCTTTCAGTTATATCAGTTGCTCCCAAAGAGACTGCACAAGTCTCCACTCAAATCTTCCTTTACTCAAAAGTCAGAAATATATTCTCTTATATTTTAATAAAAGTCTTAAGCTTTTGTTCTTAACAGTTCTTAATCCATCTGGAGTTGATTTTTATGAGTGATGTGAGTTAGAACTCCAAGTATATTTTTCCATATGAATAATTTATTGAATATCCCTTCCTTTCCCTACTGATCTACCACCCTGCCTTTGTCCTTTATCAAAGTTCCATTTATGAATAAGTCTGTTCTGAACTCTGTCTTCTATTTCATTTGTCAACGTGGCTATCCTTGCATCAATACCACCCTATTACTACAGCTGTATAATGAGTCCCAATATTTGGTAGAGCAAGTCCTCTCCTTTAATCTTCTTCATTAGTATTTTAACTAATCTTGATCCTTTGCTCTTCTACATAAGTTTTAAAATAACTCACTAGCAATAGTTTTGGAACAACCAAAGATGGTGATCCAGAGAAGGTTTACCTATCAAAACATACATTTTAACACTAATAAATCAGATTGTATAGGAAGTAAATGTCTTTTATAATTTTATTTTATTGTGTTTTATAAATATATATACACACTAGAGTTGCCAGGACATCATCCCTGGTGAAGTAGAGGGTCAGTGAAGAAGAAGAAGACCCTCAACAAGATGGATTGACACAGTGGCTGCTACAATGGGCTCAAGCATAACGATCGTGAGGATGGTGCAGGACTGGGCAGTGTTTCGTTCTGTTATACGTAGGGTCGCTAGAGTTGGAACCGATTCGACAGCACCTAACAACAGAGTTGCCAGGTTTAGAAAAACAAAAAACCGCCTGCCCAGTGAAATTTGAATTTCAGAAAAACACAAAATTTTTTTTAGTATGTCTCAAATAGGAGCCCTGGTGGCACAATGGCTAAATGCTTGGCTGCTAACTGAAAGATAGGTGGTTCAAAGCTACCAGCAGTTCCATGGGAGAAAAGACCTGACAATCTGCTTCCATAAAGATTTCAGCCTAGAAGACCCTATGGGGCAGTTCTACTCTGTCCTATAGGGCTGTGATGAGTTGGAATCGACTCGACAGCACATAACAACAATATGTCCCAAATACTGCAGGAAATATATTTATGCTAAATAGTATTTACTGTTTATATGAAACTCAGATTTAACTTGGCAGCCTGTATTTTATCTGGCAACCCACATGCAGGCACACATGCTTCATAAAGTGAAACCTGTGAGAGCTGGAACTCGACAGGACTGCCTTGTTTTTCCAGGTCTTGCAAGTTTTCCACCTTTGACAAGGTGCAGTCTTGCCACTTTTTTATCATTTGTTTTAGTGGAAAATATTTGAGTTTTCTTTCTCTGACAGGTTTCCATCTTACACAGGTTCCAGCTTTCACAGGTTTTACTGTACCATTTTACCTACTTTTCCCTGGATTTTCTATTTATGAGACAACAACCTTGCCTAGGATACTATTGCCAACCACAATACTTTTTACCTGTGTGTCACCCAAAGTGAATAATAGGGTTCTGTACTCTGTCATTGGAAAAAAACAAGAACAGTACATATTATTTTTAAAAAACAAAAAGAAAATTATTTTCCATATATAAAATGCTCAGGGTCAAATGCAGCAAAATAAAGATCCTATATCCCCACAGGTACAGAGCTCAGCCTTTATTTTTGGACCACTCCCAAGAACCCCACCCTTGGGATCCAGAAAATATTTGTACAGACCCCAGCCTCAGACTGGGACAAAGGCAGGGGCTTTTCAAGATGAATGAGCAGATTCAGCCCACCTAGCACAGCAGCCTGAGGCTGTGGGGAGGCAACTTCCAGTGAGACCAACAGCAGTCCCTGTTCTCCCCTTGAGCAGATCTTACGGAAGCTGAAGGGCTATGATTCCTTCAACACCCTGCTGCTGCCTCCCCGCACCCCAGGGGAGAAGCTGCCCCCAGAGGTGTATGAGTACTTTAAGGAGATGAAGCGGTCAAAAGAGGAGCAGATGAAGGCAAAGTATATGGAGTCCCTTGCTCAGGAGAATGGTAAGAACTCGACACCAGAACCCTGGGCTCCTAGCCACTGCCCTGGCCCGTTTGGGTCACTCCTGCTATAAGAACGACTGATTCTTGAGCACCTGCTAGGTGCCCGGGAGGTGATAGGTGGCTTACATATTTCATTTGTAACACTTACAAAACATCCTATTTTATAGATGTGGAGACTGGGGCACATTCTTCTGACTCTAGAGTCCAGTAGGGTGTTAAAACATATGTATAGATACATACATACATATATATATATAAAACAAAAACAAACCTGTTGCTGTCGAGTTTATTCCAACTCATAGCAACACTATAGGACAGAGTAGAACTGCCCCATAGGGTTTCCAAGCAGTGGCTGGTGGATTTGAACTGCCAGCCTTTTGGTTAGCCGCCAAACTCTTAACCACTGTGCCACACACACACACTGCGCCACACACACACATACATATATACATATGTATACACATACATATACACAATACATATGTATATATACACATATGCACACACATACACACTCTAGTGGCACAATGGTTAAAGCGCTCCAGTGCTAACTGAAAGGTCGGTGGTTCAAACCCACCAGCGGCTCTGAGGAAGGAAAGACCTGGTGATCTGCTCCCATAAAGATTACAGCCTTGGAAACCCCATGGGGCAGTTTTACTCTGTCATATAAGGCTGCTGTACATCAGAATGGACTCAATGGCACACAACAACAGAATACTTGCTAGATACCAAACCCTGTGCTTAGAGCTTTACATGTACAGATGAGCAGATTGAAGCAGAGAGGTTAGGTCCACAGTTTTAAGTGGCAGAATCAGAATTTAAACTCAGGTCTCCCTGATTCCAGAGTTCATGACACTAACCATTATACTGCATTGCCTCATATGTGCATAACAATGAAGCCAGGTAGAAATTAGTGTCATAAGAGATGTAGGGGATGAGAGTTCAGGTGTGCCCAGTCACAAAGCTGAACTGGACTGTCATCAACCCCGAGTTATCCCATCATCTGCCCAGGGGCTCCCTTGGGCATAGAGGTTCCTGCTGATCTGTAGGACTGTGGCTTGTCGTGATGCACCCTTCTCCTTCCTGCCTTTCTGCTCCCTCCATCTGGAAATGCACTGACCTTGTTCTTATTTGCTGTGTTCTTCTATGAAATAGTCATCACGAGTGCAGCTATTTTCTTTATACATGTCTCCTCCACTGGCCAAGAAGCCCCTATGAAGGCAGCGATCACACATCCCCCACTCGTAAACCCAGTAGTCGGAACAGCACCAGATACATCGCTATGCCCAGGAAATACGTGCTGTATGAGGGAAGGAGTGAATTAGAATCCTTTTCTCACACCCTTGGCCTGTCTGCTGTCTCTCAAGGAAAAAGAAGTTAGTCAGAGAATACTAGTTTGGCCTGAAAGGAGATGAGAGAAATCTGTGCCCCAGCCATTCACACAGTCACGTGTGTTGAGCACTCCCTGTGTTCTAAGCACTGAGCTGAAGTGCTGGAAAAAAGATCAATGAAACCAGTCCCCTTGCCCTAGAGAGCTCCCAGGCTGAGGGATGTAGACATTATACTGAGAACAGCCCAGTGGCCCAAGGCAGGGAGCTGCAAGGGGCTCAGTTACCAAGGGCCACATGAGAGCAGAGCCACACCAGCCCTTACACAACACAGGTAGTGGGGGTAGTGGATTTGTTTCTTTGTTTGGCCCATAGAAGACTCTCTAAAGCAGGACCGGTGGGGGCGGGGAGAACCAAGGAGGGCATGCTTCTCTCTGAGCATCTATACTCTCTGCTCTCACACTGTAAACCACCCTTCTTGCTTCCCTGACCATGGCCAGAGCAGGCCAGCAGTTCCAATCACATCCCCTTCGCTCAATGAAGAGCTGCAGCCTCTCAAGCTCCAGCTTCTGGACAGAGAGGATGCCTTGGCCCAGACTGCCCAGGTGCCTGCAGTTGACTGTGTCTTGGGGGTGGGGACTCACCTTGTATAATCACAGATTGCTGCCACTGCTGAAACCCTATGGAGTAGGGGCAATGAGAGGGTGCTAGGCAGACAAAATGTAGATGTGCTTAACAATGGCATGGGGGAAATGTTCATGATAAATTAAGGGGGAAAGCAGACTATAAATTGGTATGTATAATATAATCCCAAGTTTAGTTTTTAAAAATTGCAAAGAAATGGTGACAGTGGAATTGCAGCTGAATTTTATAGTTTTTGCTCTTCTGAAGTTTCCAAATTTTCTGGAGCTAACATATAACTTTGGTATTAAAATTATAAAATACAGAAACTTTCTGGGCAGAGGAAAATTTTAATAGCTGACTAACTGCAGTTTGTGTTTATTTTGTTTAGATAATCTAAGGTGATATTAACCAGGTGTATCTTTCTTTCCTTTTCTGACCCTCTTTCCCTTATCCCCCTCCCACCTCCTCCCTGCGTTTTCATCTTTGCTCCCTGGCAGAAGAGGAAGACGGGCCCTCATCAGAGCAAGGAACTTCCACCAGCACAAAAAGGACCTCACTCAGCCGAGGAATTTCTGTCACGTCCAATCTGGAAGAGCGGCACATCCCTATGGTCGAGTCCAAAACCTACCCAGACGAAGACGACGATGACGAGAGCTTAGAAAAAATCATGTTTCAAAGTAACCAGGCGTTCTAATGTTTTGGTACCAGCTCTTTCTAAGCAGAAGGAGGAAGACAATTCACTGTCTTTTCACCTTTCTCCATAAAATGCATCCTCAGAGCCTCCTAGCACTGGCTCCCCACTCCAGCCCCACTCCAGCCCTGACATACCCACTCACGCTATGAGACAAGCACAGAAACATACTGATGAGCTTAACACATAATATATTCTTCTTGCCGCAATTATTTGCATTTTAACTGGTCTAAATATTAACTCAAAGTCCTGAGTCTTTAATGCTAAAATCCCAGGAGACTGAGGGTTGTTCAGAGAAACATTTCAGTCCTGCCATTCTTCCCAGTATCCCTCCAATTGGACTGTGTAGGCAACTCCCAAGCAGGCTACAAATTGGTGTGTACAATTTGACCTCCCAGCATTGTGGGCCCACTTCTTGGCATTCATCTTGCCCAAGGTATACAAGACATTAAAACCATATTTGGAAAATCAGATTCGGCAAAACTTGGTTCACTGGGCCATTCGTTCGCCAGGCAGTAAAACATAAGCAACCTTGTCATTTTCCCCTGTCAGGGAATAGGAAGCATCAGCAAGACTAATGAGCTCTTTGAAGAGTTTTAGTTAAGTTGTCATTCTTAGCCCTCATCAACAAAGTGGGTAAAGTAAGGCAGAAGTGTGTTATGGCAAAACTGGGATCCATTTTGGCTCTTCTGACCTGCCCCTAAGTGACAGCCTTAACTTGCTCTGCCACTGTCCTTGGTCCCTGGACTCTCCCAGAGCTGCCCCAGACGTCCTACAGAGAAGGAGCCACACCATGATATTAAGGATGGAAAAAACTAGAAACTGCCTAAGTGCCCATCAGTAGGGGACTAGTTACATTATCAGAAATCCATACAATGAAATACTTCAGCAGTTATTAATAAACAACAAGCTAGATCTGTTTTCAGGCAAATAGAAAGATGTCTAAGACATATCACATGAAAAATCAACTTGCAGAACAAAATTTAGATTATAATCCCAGTTATTAAAACATTATGCATATGTTTGGAGTAACCATATGTATTTGGTTACATACATATATAGAGAGAGTACACAGCAGCTTGCTCTTTCCCACCATAGACAGCCCTTCAGACCAGCACTCGTTCATCTAAATCAGGGATCGGCAGACTTTTTCTGTTAAGAGGCCTGACAGTAAGTATTTTAAGTTTTGCGGGCCATGCAGTCTCCGCTGCAACTACACAGCTGTTCCTTTGTGATATGAAAGAAGCAGCCATAGACAATACAGAGATGTGACTGTGGACCATTAGAGCTTTTATTTACCAAAACAAGCAGCAGGACAATTTTCCCTCTGGGCGGTAGTTGGCCAACCTCTGATATAAATCATTATTTTAATAGCTACTACAGTATATTCATTCCAGAATATAAATATGCCATCATTTATTTAGCCATTTTGTCACTACAGTCCTGAACTAAGCATCTCCACACAAATGCCCTTTCTATTTTCAACAGGAGAGAGTCCCAAAAAATCGAATTAGAATCAGAGTATCTGTATTTTAAATTTTTGTACCTATGGACAAATTATTAGCCAAAAGGGCACTCTCATACACTACAGGTGGGAGTGAGGACCACTGCAACATTTGCAGCAGATCACAATAGCATTTAAAAAGAAAACATCTTTTCCATTTCCATCAGAACCCATGTAAGTTCTGGGTGTGTACACATACATGCATATGCACATATGTGTATGTTTTTAATTTGCAGCTGACAAGATACAGAGCAGTGACAGCCACTCCGTGGAGGAGGTTGGAGAAGTAGAAAACAACCCAGTGAGCAAGGCCATCGCCCGCTACCTGGGCATTGACATTTCTGCAGAAGGCCGCCTGGCCAAGAACCGGAAGGGCATCGCCGTTATTGTCCACGGGACGCCCTTCTCAGGTAACGGACGACCCTGAGGGGAGGTGAAGACCAGGGATGCCATGCCTTCTCCGGAAACTCCCTGACTTCCAGAATGACATCAGCTGCGTGAGCAGGAGAGATACTAGCAATTTCATTTGAGAAGACAGCATAGCAGAGTGTTTACAAGCATGTACTCCAGAGTCCAACAACACCATGTCAGTCATTGCACTGCCATTTACTAGCTCTGTGCCTTTGGGGAAGTTACTTAAATTCTCTGCACCCTCTTTCCTTGGCTGAAAGTATTAGCAGTATATAGTGTAGACATGAGAATTAAATGAGAGCATTCCTATCCAATGTTTAGCCTAGTACTTGGCACATGATAAATACTCAGAAAGCTGTTGTTATTATTATCATTATTATGATAATGATGATGACTATTTATTGTCATTGTTAATTATAACCATATCTAGAATTTGAAATCCATTGGAAAAAAATAAAACAAAACCTCTAATCACATTATGCTCAATAGTCTAAAGGAATATGTTGCTAACGGTAAACTAAGCAAGGAGTGAGCCATTCTTTAACAAAAGAGTCCTTATTGCCTCCAAGAGTTACACACACCAACTTCACCCTAAACCCAGAAGGAGCAAAATCACCTACAGTGAACAAGATCTTAAGCTTACAGATTGGCTTACAGTTTATGAAACTCCTTCCCATCCATTTCTCTGTTTAAACCTCACAATCACCCAGTGAAGAGAGTTTGATAGTCCCCACTTCACAGGAAGTTAAAGTTCAGAGAAATCTGAGGACATTTCCCCAAGCTAGCAAGTGGCAGAGTGAAAGGGCCTGCAGTTTTCTTAGCTCCAGCTTATCAAAGAAAGGACTATAAAACCTTTTTCTGACCTGTCCTAGTTATCTAGTGCTGCTATAACAGAAATACCACAAGTGGATGGCTTTAACAAACAGAAATTTATTCTCTCACAGTTTAGGAGGCTAGAAATCCGAATTCAGAGTGCCAGCTCCAGGGGAGGACTTTCTCTGTCGGCTCTAGGGGAAATTCCTTGTCATCAGTCTTGCCCTGGTCTAGGAGCTTCTCAGTTCAGGGACCCTGAGTCCAAAGGACTCACTCTGCTTCTGGCTCTTCTTGCTTGGTTGTAATGAGGTCCTCATCTCTCTGCTCTCTTCTCTCTCCTTTTGTCTCTTGTGAGATAAAAGGTGATGCAGGCCACACCCCAGGGAAACTCCCCTTACATTGGATCAGGGTTATAACCTGAGTAAGGGTGTTTCATCCCACCCTAATCCTCTTTAACATAACCTAATCTTGCCTCATTAACCGTAGGCAGAGATTAGGATTTACAACACATAGGAAAATTACATCAGATCACAAAATGGAGGACAGCTACACAATACTGGGAATCATGGCCTTGCCAAGTTGACACAGATTTGGGGAGAACACAATTCATTTCATGACATGATCTAATTACTGTCACTCCTACAGAAAACATTTATGGAGCATTTTCTATGTTCTAATCACTGTGAGAAACCCTAGGAATCTTTAAAAATGTGACAATTCGTGACTTCTTCCCTTGAACCCACAGTCTGAGGAACCATAGACCAGAACCTAAAAGATGTGAGGCCAGATTTGGGGGGAACAGGTGGGAATCAAACAAGGCAACTAAGAATGTGATTTTAAAATGCCTTAAAGACCCCACCACCCCCAGGAGCTCCTGGCCATTTCTGTGAGGGGTGCTGAGCAAAACAATAATGGATCAGCAGAAATTTAAGACAGCTGGCATGTTTATCCTGAAAATGCACTTGACCTGGAAGCAGCCACTAAGCCCCATTCTAGGGTAGGGTTCACCCACTTTCATCTGGAGAGGAAAAGCTTAAATAGAGCACCCAACTGTGGCATGTAGACTACAACAAAGACAGTTTTCAAAGAATCTTCACAGAGAACAGTTTGATAGTTTGTATCAAAATCAAACTGTACAGAGTAGGTGATTTGCTCCTTTTGGGTTTATGTTAAAGTTGGTACATGTAATTTTTGGAGGCAATGAACGACTCTCTTGTTTAAAATTTATATACCAAAAGATCATCCTCAAACTGTTAAATTGATGACCTCAGAGATACAGGGTTAGAAGAGAGGGAAGAACCTCATTTTTAATTTATACATCTCTGAATTTTTTAAACTTGTATTCCTTTAATAATTTAAAAACGTTAAAATGTTAGAGAAAAATCCAAGGCATTAAATTATTTTAAAATAGAGAAAAAAATATATGCAAACCCTTTGACCTGGCAGCATTACTTCTAAAATGTTATCTTAGGAAAATAATTAATGATGCAAACAAAGATTAACTGCAAAAATGTTCACTGAAGCGCTACTCGCCATCACAAAAAATTGGGAGCAGTTGAAGTGTTCAGTATGGCAAACTGGTTAAATAAACGATAGTTTATTTATATAATTCAGAAAGTGAATTATATCACCATGAAAACAGCGTTATAGAAGTATATTGAATGAACAGAAAGATGTTCATGGTATATTGTTGTAAGTGAGGAAAATGCCATCCTGATGATTTATAACCCACGTTAGTTCCTATCACTGCTATAACAAATTGCCACAAACTTAGTGGCTTAAAACAACACAAATTTATTCTCTTACATTCCTGGAGGTCAGAAATCTAAAATAAATTGGCAAGGCTCAGTTTCTTCTGGAGGCTCTAGAGAGAATCTCTTTCCTTGTCTTTTCTAGCTTCTGTTGTTCTAGTTAGGTGCCGCCGAGTGGATTTCAACTCCTAGTGACCCCATGTGACAGAGTAGAACTGCGCCATAGGGTTTTCTAGGATGTAATCTTTATAGGAACAGATTGCCGAGTGTTTCTCCCATGGAGCTGCTGGATGGGTGCAAACCGCCAACCTTTCAGTTAGCAACTAAGCACTTAACCATGCAGCTGCCTATTCCTCAGCTTGCGGCCCCTCCTCCTTCTTTAAAACCAGCAGCATAGCATCTTCAATCTCTCTTCCTCTGCTTTCAACATCATGTCACCTTTTCTGACTCTGAGCCTCCTACCTCCCTCTTATAAGGACTCCTTGTGCTTACATTGGGCCCACCAAATAATCCAGAATAACTTTCCCATCTCAAGATCTTTAACTTAATCATGTCTACAGAGTCCCTTTTATCATGTAAGATAACATTCACAGGTTCTGGGGATTAGGACATGAGCATCTTTGGGTGGAGGAGCCATTATTTAGCCTACCACATAACCCATTTCTTTTTTGCAAAAAAGAAATATAAATAAAATAGTTACATATGCACACTCAACAACCATATGCTAACTATAATGTCTCTGTGTGAGTGGATTGTGAATCTGTTTATCTCTTCTCTTATTTCTGACTTTTCTGCTTTCTTTGTAATGAGCAAATATTTTGAAATGAGAAAAAAAGTCAACAGTTATTTTTTAAACCAAAAAGTCTTCACCTTAGAATCAGAGATAGTAAGAGAGACAAGATATTTTAAAGATCATCTGATAGAATTTACTTTTTAAACTGAGAAGAAAACGAAGAGAGGATGTGGGTTACCACAGCACACCCCACACAGTGGTAGGATTAGGACTCCTGGCTCTGGTCTGCCTTCTCTTTTCTGCCGCCACCTCTGCTGCATGCGAGACTTGGAGGCAGAGCAGTTGGAGAGATCACTTTGCAGCAACTTCTATTCTAGAAACTCCTGTCTAGGACTCAGATTGAGCAAATAAGAAACATGAAATTTAAACCTCTGACTTTTCTTCAGGAAAGTCTGCCACCTCTGTCAGCCTGGCCAAGTACTACAATGCGGCCTGCTTGAGTATTGACTCCATCGTACTAGAAGCCATCTCCGACAGTAACAACATCCCAGGCATCCGCGCCCGTGAGCTCTGCATCAAGGCCGCAATTGAGCAGTCCATGAAGGAAGGAGAAGAGTCTAGTAAGAGTCTATTTTCTCCAACTTTCTATGGTCCAGTGGCTGGCACCCCACTGGTAACGCTGATCTTTTCTCTTCCTCCTGCTGAGCTGTTCTCCCACAACCCCACTGAAGGGTTATTTATAACATGGTGCCAACTCAGTAGCCTAGAGAATTCTCTTGACCAAGCATGTATAGCCCTCCTGCCCTGCCCAAGGTAGGCGTGTACTTGGCACTATCAGGAATAGAGCACTGAGTAAGATGTGGTCCACACCTCTGGAGGGCTAGCATCCATGAAGGGCTGGGGGAGCAGACATGTGCTCCTTCAGAGAGAGAAAAATAAATGTTGCAACAGAAGTATCAGCTTATGTGAAAAAGAGTAAGTTTCGGATGGATGAGTTCCCACAAGAGTGATTTGTGGAAGTTTTCATGGAAATATTCCATTTACATGGACTTCGAAGGAGCAAGAGAATGTTGATAGGCAAAGATGGGAGCAAGGACCTCAAACCAAGAAAGCAGGGACTCTGACACTAAACGAGGAATGGGAAGGCAGATAGAGGCCAATCATAGTTGTCCTTGAGTATCAAGGTTAGGAGTTTGGGTTTTATTTTGTAAGAAAAGAGGACTTGGGGCAGTTTTCACACTATGGAAGAAATGGTCAGAGAGTCACAGTAGGAAAGTAGCTTTTGTTGTGTCTCGTAAAGGAAGCATTAGTGACACTGAAGATAAATGGATGGTGCCTTCCAGCTGACCCAGTGTGCACCTGCATGGTGGGGACTTGAAGGAGTGGGAGGCTGGGAGGCAGTCAAGATTTCTAGCCACAGACACCAGAAGGGGAGTGGCATCCATTACCAAGATAGAGGACACTGGAGGAAGAGAAAGTTTGGTGGAGAGGAAAGTGAACAGAAGTTTTGACACCCTATTGTAGTGAGGCCTGGTGTGGCTCACCTGCCAGAGGTTGAGAAATCTGGCTCCATGCATTCATCTGAGCACCTCCAGGGCAGGAGAGCAGCTGCTCAGTGGGAAAATAGAACGACTAAAAGCAGAGAGCCTGCAAAGAGCTGAATCATTTTTATTATTTTTCTCATAGTCCTTAGCACTGGTTAATGTGCTATTTATTTTGCTTACTTATTTTATTGCCTATCTCCCCCAACTAGAAGGTAAGCTTCTGAGGGCAGGGATTTGTGTTTGTTTTATTCACTGACGTATCCCTAGCATCTAGAAGAGTGCCTGGCACATAGTAGACACATAATCAAGATTTAGAAAAACGTATTGAGTCGATAAATGAATATACTCAAAGACTGCTAAAAGCTCAAATAGAAAGCCCTGAGAAGATAGCAGCTGTATTGAGCAGTTCAGGGGTCACTGGTGACATTAGAGAGATCTCTCCCAGTGCAGAGGTTAGGCCCAAATCTGCCCAGTCTGTATTAAAGTTTCTGGAAGTGGTAAGTCTACACCTGCCTATCCCATATTGTAACCACTAGCCACATAGGGCTACTGAGCACTTGAAATATGGTTAGGCTGAATTGAGATGCACTGTAAGTATAGAATCCATGTTAGATTATAAAGATGTAGTATGAATATAAGACTATAAATTAACATAATATATATTATTTTTATATATTGGGTTAAATAAAATATGTTATTAAAATTATCTTTTACTCTTTTAATGTGCCTACTAGAAAATTTTAAATTACATACATATGTTTATTGGACAGGGCTGGTCTAGACCACTGTTTAGAAATTTGGTAGTGAAGGAAAGAGAAGAGATGAAGTGATATCTTGAAAGCAATGAAGGGTCAAATGAAAACTTTCATCAGAGGTGTTATCTGGAAGACCTTTTTTTTTAAAGTTATGGAGGAATGATGCCATTGCCACGAGCAGAGGAAGGTTAGAGGCGTGTGGAGACCATAAAAGAGATTGTATAGTAACTGGGGGAGGGGCAAGTAGGGACTGAGGAGGAGCAGGAATTATAGCAAGGTGAACAGGTACCAGTGTGGCAGGAGGCCACGAGCAGTCTTTATTAAGGCAGGATTCAAAAAAAAAAAACAAAACAAGCCCATTGCTGTTGAGTCAATTCTGACTCATAGTGACCCTGTAGGACGGAGTAGAACTGCCCCCATAGGTTTTCTAAGGCTGTAATCTTTACAGACACAGATTGCCACATCTTTCTCCTGCAGAGCGGCTAATGGGTTCAAACTGCTGACCTTTCGGTTAGCAGCTGAGCTCTTAACTACTGCGCCACGAGGGCTCCACCACAAGGCGAGATTACCAGTGGTAAATGATTCCAAAGGAGGTGGGACAGAGCCTGGAGGGATTTGGGGTGATGAGGCGTGGAATGAGCATAGGATTAAGCACTTCCAGAATTGGGGCAGACGTTGGTGCAACTACTTCATTGATGGCTTTGTCCCCGGCACCCCCAGGTACACTATGGAGTCCTTGTACCTAAAGCAGCTCCTGGGGGAGGAGTGGAGGGAGTACATGAAAAGACAAAGAAGAGTTAAGAGTAAATTGCAGGAAACAGCTCTCATGGGAATTCTGGTGTTTTATTTGCTGAAATGGTCGACAAGGGGTCATGAGTATTAATGAGTCTCCCTGAGAGCTAGAGAAATGTGGGAGCTGCCTGGCAAACAGCTCCATCACCTCATCTTGCCAACACTGCACCCTATTCTCCTTCAGGAGCACACACCCTATCCAGAAGAGTCAGAGTTCCAGAGGACACGATGAGACAGGACTTGACCTTGGGGCTATGGGGGAGGAGGGGTTGAGGGCTAGGGGATGGCAGGAGTTTATCATAAAAGTCAAAGGCACTCTAACAAGGGTTTTGTCTGAAGGTCTGTCATGAAAACCCCTTTAAATAATTACATCAGCCACTGATTCTGAAACAGAACTTCTACATGGGGAAGAATGCTTAGGGGTGGCATTCTGCCTGGAAGGCGGGGCAAGGGAGTGAAGAGAAGAAATTCATCTTGAAGCCGTGTTTGCCATCAGGCATGCTGTTTTGCCTTAGCTTGGGGGCTCTGCTGAGGGAGCAGAGAATGCCTCCCCAAGACACTGCCTAGAGCCACAAGTGGTCAGGTGTGAGATTTCCAAGGCAGGGCTGTAGTGTGCCAGCAGTTTCAGAAATCATTACTCTCTGGGTTGGAAGATAAAGTGGACACACAGTAACCTGGGATCTACTGGGAAGATGAGGCATGAAGAGCCCTGGGCCCTGACTCAGGCTCCCACTGACCCATCATCTAATCTTTAGTGGGCAATGCCTCTGCTCCCTGCCCAGCTCTGCCTGCTGCAGATGGAGATGGTTTTGTATTCCATAATAGAACCGCACTTGGTGTCAGCATGCCATCCCCCCTCTTATTTCCATATCATCCAAAGGTGACTTAATAAAAACTCACCCTCTCCTTTTAGCCCAGGAGACTACTTTGAACCCAAACATCACAGGACAAGTACGACTAAGCAGCGAGACCTTGGGCAAGTTCACTTCAGAATCCACTTTGGTAACTCCCGAAACGAAACCTGGGAAGAATTTGCGTGGGAGCGTACTGATTGGCAAAAACAAGGCAGAGAGTCATGGCTCTGGGTCTCAGAAGCAGCATCATCTGCACTCATCTGAAACACCACAGGTACAATTCAGGGTCCTCTGCAAGGAAGATGGGGACTCTTCCTTCTTCCAAGTATCCTGCAGCCAGGCCGGCGCCCTTCATTTCTATGGTGCCCTCTCAGGGAAGACCCGCTGCTGACCCTGTACCACCATCACTTGTTCAGCAGGTGTTCAGCGAGTGCCTTCTGTGTGACAGCCCTGGTAAGCTCAGTACCCCAGCTACTCCATGCAAAGCGGCTGAACAGAGCTGGAGAAGAACACTCAGCTCTCCTCACAGTCTCAGTTTAAACTTAAGACCACAAATCTCAATCTCAACTGGACCCTTCAACCTGCCCTGGCTTAGAGGCATCTCAAAATTTGTATGTCCAAAAAGTGACTCGTGCTTCCCCACAAAAAAAAAAAACCCAGACTGTTCTTCCCTTGGTAAATAACCTCACTATTTTCTTAGTTGCTCAAGTGGCACTAGGAGCCATCCTTGATGCCTTGCTTTCCCTGTCATCCCATCCCAAGTCCTATTGGCTCTACTTCCAGAATACACCCAGGATCAGCCACTTATCCCCACTTCCACCACCACCCTGCTGCCATTGCCATTGCCTTAACACAGAAATACCTTCCTAACTAGTCTTCCCACTCTTGTCACCTCATGCAGCAGGCAGAGAGGTCTTTTAAAAATAAAAATCAGATCATTTGTCTGCTTGAAAACTACTTGTGACTTCCCATAAGTCTTTGAATAAAATCTATTCTTTACCATGGCCTACAAGACCGTGCATATTCTGGCCCTGACTCTATTTGACTCTAAACCTGACCCTCTTCCTCCTTCCTGGTTCAGTTCCAGCCACAATGGCCTCCTGTGTGTTCCTCCAAATGCCCCGAAGCACACTCATGTTGAGGGAACTTACTCTCCCCTCTCTGAAAGTCTCGTCTCTCAATCTTAGTTCATCCTTTCACATTACCCAGGTAATGTGACCACCCTCTCTGAAGAGCCATCCCCCAACTCTGTCATTGCTCCTTCTTCCCTTGCCCAGTCTATTTTCTCCCTAGAACTTAACACTGTCAGAAATTATAGTACTGATTTGTTTATTAATGTGCTTCTTTTCTGTCCCCCGATTAGCATGGGAGCACCACACAGGTAGCAGCAGCAGCAGCCTTGTCTGTTGTTGAATCCCTAGCACCTGGAGGGGTGCCTGGTGCGTAGAGGATGCTCAGTAAATATCTGATGAATGAATGAACAAATATGTGCAGCTCCGTATATATGTATAAAGCACTTTCCACAAAATTCCGATTGGATGCATATAGCAATTCTTTAAAGAAGATAGTTACTATAATCTCCATTTTACAGATGAGGCCCAGAGAGACTATATGATTTTCTGGAGGTCACATGGCTTGTAGGTGTGTAGGATTTATTGAGATGCAAAGCTAGATTCTGACCCCTGATCCTTCTCCTTCTCCACAGATTTCCTCCAGCCCTCAACCCTTTGGGCCCACCCAGCGCAGGCTCAGTGTCAGCGCCAGCATCGGGGGAGAGACCGGGCTGATGAGCTGTGTGCTCCCTGAGGAGCTACTTGTGCAGATTCTGGCCGAGCGAATACAGGTGCGTCCACCCCCACCTGCATGGAGCTTCTTGCAGGCCTTGGCACATTCACACACCATCCCTGTGAGTGAGCTGAGATTCCAGGCCATCAATAGCCCATTCTGAGCAGCTCAGAGCCCAGGAGCCTTGAAGAGGAAAGATGGTATTTTCCATTCCCAACAGTCATTGACGTACTTACCCTTTAGACAGCTCTTGTCAGTCCTGACTCTGGCCCAAGCTGCACCTGAAGCCTTTCATCTTAGAGGACCAGAGAGCAGAAGGTTGTACATACAAAAATAGAGTAATGGTACAGCCCTATGGTGGTGTGTTAGAAATTATATTGTGGCACCATTAAAAATTGTGGTTTAGACCTATGTTAATTGTTGAAGAAATATGTTCACAGTATTTTATTAAGTGGAAAAAGTGGATTATGAATGGTATGTAAAGCACAATTGCATTTCTAGAATATATTTATAAATGTATTACACACATTATAGAAACTTTTAAAGTACACATTAATTGGGGTTATCTTTGGGTAGCAGGATTACAAATGTTTAGTCTTTATACATTTCTGAATTATTTTACATTGGCATTGCTTTTACAGTCAGAAATACAATAATGCTCTTTCCATTTTTAGTTTTTAATTTTTAATTTTTAAATACGTGCTATACAATTAAAGAAAAGAAGATCAGCAGGATTTGGAAGGGTACCACTTAAGCCTGTTTGTCGTTCATGGTTTACAGAGAGCTAAATTGTTCCTCAGGTCCTGGAGTTGCTTTAGTTTTTCAAAATGGGCCATCATATGGATTGCACATTTAAATACAACAAAATTAGACTTGAGACTCCCAGAAGAGGAGGAATATCATTACCGGAAATGGTCTACATTAAGGTTTGGACTGCTACATTTGGATAGTAAAGGTAGTATCACTTCAACTGATTTGAGCAAGGTATTCTAGTAAGTGAGCAAATGTTTCATGCACCCAGATTAAAGACTGAGAAACACTGGTCAAGCTCAAAGTAAGCCAGTAGAGCTATACTATTCAAAGTGCTGATCCTGGATGAGATAAGGAGCTTGCACTGCTTCCTTCATTGAGAAAGCCTTGCGACAAAACAAATGCCAGCTAAACTAAACAATGTGTTTAGTGATGTAGTTGATATACATTCTGATGTAAGTCGTTGTCCCACCAAAAACTGCTAACAATCAATTTCTGAACCAGCAGTGACCAGAATATGGGCTACCTTTTTAGTAACACTGCAGTACCACAGAGGCTTTTCTTCAATGCTTCATATTATCAAAATCGTTATGCTTCAAGGGAGTAAAGCCACTAAGAAAAATACAAATGGCCCATCCTGCTACTGCTTCTCTTGTTGCCCATTTTTCTCTGCCTAGGGACATTTTTCCTTTGTATCTTCTTTCCCTGTACCTTTAGCAGGCAAAGGGCAGTTTAATGATGTTTTCATTGGGGCCCAGTAGGTCTGCAGAACCCATTGCAGCACAGGTAAAAGCACCAACAGAAAAGCAAACAACCTTCTCCATAGAGAACAGATGATCTTGCGGCCGTGATAACTGTCTTTGCTGTCTCTGGTTTCAGCTGAGTGACTGCTACCGAGGAGTAGTGTTTGATAGCCTCGAGACGCTCTTTGCTCGGAATGGGACTGCCGCTCTCCTCTGCCTGCTGAAAGCCATCGGCAACCGGGAGCACATCTACGTTATCAATATGGCTCAAGACTATGCAGCCATGAAGGCCCAGGAGAAAGCTAAAAAGGAACAAGAAGGCAAGACCCCATACCTTCCTTGGCTGTCCTCCCCAAACCCTAACAGCTCTCTTCTTTGAACAGAGCTTTAAGCTTTCAAAACGCCTCCTTGACACGATAATCTATTGGGCTTAGGTGAAACTTTCACATTTGCCATCTCACTGGTGCCTCACCACCTCCCTGTATGGTGGCCAGGACTCATACTTCTCCTTGGCCCATGAGGAAACTGAAACCTAAGTAACCTGTTGAAGGGTCACATCATGAAGGGATGAACCCTACTCTTCTGAAAACAAAGGCATTCCTCTTTCTCCTGATGTTACACTGTTACCGCCTGTCACCTTGTCTGTAATTACCAACCCCAGGAGAATGTATCCCAAGTCCCGTACTAACTCAGGTGACTGATCTTCTTGTGGGTTTTGTCTAAGCCAACAGTGTATTTCCTATAAAACTAGAGACCCCTATAATTTGTACAAAAATAACGTCTGTATCTTACGAGAGTCTGCTATACACCAGGCATTGTATCAGGCATTTTTTTACACTGAGTCATTAAATCCTCACAATAACCTTGTGAAGATTATTGTCCCCATTTTACAGATAAGGAAAATAAGGCTCAGAGATATCAAAAGAAGTGTGTAACATCACTCAGAAAATTAGCAAGGGAGCCAGGTCTGTATAACTCTTAAAACCTATGCTCTCTATGTCATTACACCCGTAGCCTGGAAAAACATTTCAGTGATTGAAAAAGAGATACACAGAGTACTGTTGGCTTAAGTTTCCAATTTAGTTAGAAGGAGACTCAGAAAATCTGAGCCCCCCCAGGAGAGAGAGTGCAGCTGCTGGTAACACTGTCCCTGAGAGGCAGGGCCCTGCTTCCACTCCAGCGACACCACCACTGCCCTCACTTGGGCTTACCTCTCTCTTCTGGCACAATCTATACAAACCATAATGCTTTTTCACAACATCCAGGCACCCCACAGCAGTATTTCTACCTCTAGCATCCTATCTTTCCAGAAAGTTTGTTTTCCCATAATGATCAACTTGAAAGAAATGATCACTTTTCATTTCCTCAATTATCTTTGGATGAAGTTTCTCACTGTTGAATTGTAGGCTCCTCTCCCCTAAGTCAACAACATTAAAAATCCAGAGTACAGTAACACTATTATTATGTTAAAATCTATTGTCTGTTGAACGTGTATTAATGTTCAGGCACTGTGCTAAGTGCTTTACATCAGCATTTATTTAATCCTCACAACAACCCTAGGAGGGAGGAATTTTTATTCTTATCTGTTATTATCCCTTAGTAAGTGGCAGAGAAAAACTCAAATGCAGGTTCCTGGGTGCAAACCTCATACCTACTAGGATGTAACATAAGAATGTTGTGCTGGTGAAGTGTGAACCTGAGTGTGAACCACCTGCCTGGGCCTGGAGTCCACAGGGCATGGAAGGGGCTCACCTTGCTCTGCAAATAGCTCTTTGAGTGCTCATATGAGCACTTCGATGGCATATGCTCATAAGTAAAGTCGATGTATAGTGTATTAGTTTCCCATTACTGCTATAACAAATTACTACAAACTTGATCACTTAAAACAACACAAACTTATTACCTTACAGTTCTGAAAGTCGGAGGTACTAAAATCAAGGTGTTGGCAGGGCTGCATTCCTTTCGGAAGTTCTAAGGGAGAATCTATTCCCTTGCCTTTTCCAGCTTCTAGAAGCCACCCATATTCCTTGGCTTGCAGCCTCTTCCTCCCACCCCTCTGACCTTTGCTTCCATCTTCTCATCACCTTTTCTGACTTTTGTGGTTATATTAGGCTCACCCAGATAATCCAAGATAATCTCCCCATTTTAAGATCCTTAACAATCGCATCTGCAAAATGCATTTTGCCACGTGAGGTAACATATTTCCAGGTTCCGTGCATTAGGACATGACATCTTTGGGGTCCCTTATTCAGCCTACCACAGGTGGAGCCTGAATTTGGAACTGTGCAAATGAAGGAAATCCCACCAGGAATTAGAGATACCAGCCGCCTCTCAGTGTCACAGGCCCTCCTAAGCCTGCCCAGCTGGAGTAAGCGCTAAGCCAGTGGGGACTCACTGCCGAAGGTGGTGGTGACTTCTTCTCACTTTCCTGTTTCTGTTCCTCCACAGAGCATAAACGCAGGGAAGCTTTTCTGAAAGAGAAGGAGCGGCTCCAGAATATGGACGAGGAAGAATATGATGCCTTGACAGAAGAGGAGAAGATCTCGTTCGATAGAGAGGTTCAGCGGGCTCTCCGGGAGAGGAAGAAGAGGTCTGAACCAAGGGCCTGGCTGAGCAGGGGTGTCCCCCAACCCACCCCAAGGAACTTGTGTAGGGCAATATGCCCCTCTGGAGACTAGGGCTGGCATGGGGCATTCTCAGCTCTGGGCCATCTATCAGGAGGGCACCAGTAGCGGTAGGAAGATGGCCTGCAGAGAGCAGGAAAACAGACCTTGCCCATGTAGGGCCCTGATCTCATTGCTGCAGCTATTCAGGGCTACTCCCAGCCCCTCTTCTCCCTTCTCGCTGGGAGGCATTTGGAGCCAGACGGGAGCTCATGTAATGTAATGGCAGTGGTGGGAAGAGGGGCCTATGGCCCCTGTGCTATTCTGGGCCCCACTGGCTCCCCATGACAGCTACACCCCAGTTGTGGCTGAGCAGCCACTGTCTTCACTGCCTCACTGCCTCCTGCCCACAGCTGGCGACCCAGGATCCACTCTCAGCTCGTGCACAGTGGTTGCTCCCTGGAGCTTAGATGCCTCTCCCCTCCCCCAGCCCCATCGTGGCCTTTGGTGATGCTGCCATTCCCCTGGAGTCTGTCTTCCTCTCCCATTTGATCCTCAGCCTGGGCAGTTCACCTGAGACCCTGGGTAGGCTCACAGGCCCCTATCTTAGCTACCTTCTATGTCCCTCACTGGGGACCACACAGGAGCAGCTGGATCCCCTTGGGGTGCTGTCCCAGGCTATATCGAGATACATTTGGGGGTAGGGGATCTATTGCCTATTCCTGCCCCTAGGATTTCACCCACAGAAGGGGGCAGGGCCAAGATATTCACCTACAACTTAACCTCCTTCTCTTCTCTCCTCCACCTTCTGACTCTTCATACTGACCCTGAAAGGGCTTCTCCATCCTCCCTGCCCCTGCAGTATGTCCTCCTCCTCCTCCCCTTTCCACCGTAAACACAGGATCCCCAGTCCTCCAGGCACGGTCTTGGTATGAGAACCCCGGCTTTGGGACTTCAAAGGGAATGCTGTTTTTTCTTTCCAAGGTGTTGCTTTCAGGTATAGCCCCAGTGGTGCAGTGGTTACAAACTCAACTGCTTGGAAACCCTATGGGGCAGGTCTCCTCTGTCCTATAGGGTCACTGTGAGTCAGTGGCAATGGGTACTTTCAGATCCACCCGTGGACTTAGAAAGTGCAAATTTGAACCACAAAGCTGAGCAAGGACTTATTTGTGTCCCCTCCCCAAAAATAGTGGTGTGGACAGTGGGCTTCAGGGAGTGGGGAGCCACAGCAAACAGGAACAACTAGGGGTTACCAAGAATGGATGTGTATTCAGAAATGCTGTCCCCTCCACACTCATCTGTACTTAGCACCTGACTATGGTGCGTGCTCTGCCGTTAGCAGCAGCGGCAGACATGGCTGGACCCACAGCAGGAAGGGAGAGAGAAGGGAAGAATGGGTGTGCAGAACCAGCACTGTGACTCCAAGTTGGCCACAGCAAGGACTGCTGTTGAAAGCACCGTGTCCTATCATTTGCATGTCAGATGTGAGGGTGTAACAGGCTGGGCTCATCTGACTAATTCCAGAACAATCTTCGAAAGTTGCTTGAAAGAGTGCTAACATCAAACTTATGTTCAGCCCTTGCCTCTGTCTCTTATGAAAGGAGATTGGAATAGAAATACAGATTAAATGAGAATTCCTCTTAGTCGACGTTCAGTTAATCGGGGTTTTGTTGAATGACTATTCGAAGATGTTATCTTTCCTTCCTTCTTTCTTTCCTTCCTTCTTGCCTTTCCTTAATCCATTCATTCATTCTTCCTTCCTTCCTTCTTTTCTTTATTTCTATCTTATCTGTCCATCTTTCATTCTTTCTTGCTTGCTTTTTATACCTAAGACAGCTCTGCCCAGTGTCCCTCTGCCTGGCAAACTGGAGCAGGGAAGGGGCTCAGGCAGGAAGGTCTCTGAACTCTTGTTTTCTTGCCTGGTTTGATGAAGGGAGCTGGAGAGGCTGGCAAAAGAGATGCAAGAAAAGAAGCTGCAGCAGGAGCTTGAGCGTCAGAGGGAAGAAGATGAGCTGAAACGGAAGATTAAAAAACCCAAGCAGGGCCCCATAAAGGAGGAAAGCCCGCTGAAGAAACCTCAGGCTACCAGCCGGCAGGTAACAGCCTCGCTTACCTCTTCCCCGCCAACACACACAACCCCAGGAAGTAGAAGCAGAGGGGCCATGCATTGTAATCAGCCAGTCAGTCCAGTCTGTTTTCCCTCCAGAAGATTAACCTAATAGTGTTTGGGTTTGGTGGAGGAGCAGAAGATAGGAGGAAAGGAGCTGACATTTGATGAACACTCAATGTAAGCTAAGTGCTGTGCCAGTGCCTGACTTACTTACTTCATTTCAGCATCCCAGCCACCCTGCGAGGTAGGTGTACTCTTCCCCGTCTGAGGTTCAGAGAGATTACATCGCAGTTCCAGGACCTCACCCAATTATGTCTGAGTACAGAGCCCTACTCTGTCCACTGCACCATGCAGGCTCCTGGATGGTGCTAAATAAACCGGTAAAACAGTTGTCCTCAAATCGATTCCAGCTCATGGCAACCTCATGTGTGTCAGAGAGGAACTGTGCTCCAGAAGGTTTTCAATGGCTGATTTTTTCAGAAGTAGATCGCCAGGCCTTTCTTCTGAGGCACCTCTGGTCAACTTGAGCCTCCAACCTTTCAGTTAGTAGCTGAGCGCATTTACTGTTTGCACCACACGGGGACTCCTGGTACTAAAGGGGCTAGTGTTAAAGATCTGCCTCCAGCAAAACAATAAACTCCCTGTGTTTAATCAAGAACAAAACCCTTTCAACAGCCAAGAAGACATGCTGGCATAATCTTATCCTTGCAGAAGAGTACCAGCAGTCTATCAGTTTGCCAAACTTAGCAAACTTCTTTACCAACTGTGAAACAGGAAGAGCAGAATGGCCAGTGCAGTGGCCACGATGGTGATTGCATCTGAGAGGTGTGGCAAGCCCATGTGGAATGAGTTCTGAGGGTAAAGCTAAAGCTAGACTCTCAGACAAGGTGCAGACTGGTCTGAGTAGGTGAGTGAGAGACAGCAACCACAGCTGGGTAGACATGAGAGCAGAGGCATCAGTGGCCAGGGTCTCAATCAGGTAGAGCTCAAGAAGGATCAGGGTCTGAGCATACAGAGCTGAGCACAGGTTTGGGATTCAAAACAAGAACAAGCTAGTTTCAAAACAAAACTAGCAGGCCTGGAGTTCAGACTGAGAGCTAGGGACAGGCCCCACACAGAATAACCTGGTGGTTGTGGGTAGTGACCTCTGCTGGCCTTTTCTGGTGTGGAAAAGTAAGGGTCCGCAGGGACGTGGCCTGGTGGGAGCTGTTGATGGCAGCAGAGACTGGGACTCCAGCAGGCCACAAGTTCCAGAATCACCGAAGCTTTGATGTCATTGACCTGCAGGAAGCGTAAAGCGTCTCAGGCTGAGAACAAAAAAGAGTACCCAGGAGAGAGTTACAAGGACTGAATGATTTTGTGCATGAAGCCAGGGGTGAGAATTTGAGTAATTGTGTTCCAGCACTCTTTCTGTAATTAACAAAGTCAATTTCTTGTTTGAAAAAAGTTCAGAATAATCTATGCAGAAGTTGTCTTCCCAAATTTGCTTTTAAAAAGAAGTTCATTCATCATGTAAAAAAGAATGTTTGGAGCAGTTAACCCGAAATTATGGCCACTGACTTCATCACTGGAGTCTCCATCAGGTATCTGTTGGAACTTTTAAGTGCAGGCTTGTGGGTTTCCCCTATTTTACTCTCAGCTCAAGTTGCTATGACTTGAGCACCTACCCAAGTCCCCACTACAGGTTATGGGCAAGTACCCTCCTGTGTGCTTGGTTGACCTTGGGAAGAGGGGAGGGCCACATCAAAGCCATCCCTCTGGGGCACAAGCTTGTATACCATTTAACGTTAGCACAAAGTACAATCAGTCATATTCCCTGGGGACTTCTTAAGATTCTTCTTGGGACAAATGCAGTTGCCTGGTTTGAAAAAACTCTAGTTCAAGAAAAACTGCTGAGACTGGATATATTCTCAGGAAGTGAAAGGAAATTCCAGGAGGGTGCCAAGGTGAAAGGGAAGGACTGGAGAGAACAAATCTCAGTGGACTTCCTTGTTTCCTCAGCAGATCTGGTCTGTCTCGTGGGCCATCTGAACATCTATTTCTCTCTCTGCTCAGGCTTCAGTCTCTCTTCCCACAGGCCGCTTGCCTGCAGGACATTTTCATGCTCAAGTATCACCCTCCTTTAAAGAAAAAGTCTCCCTCAACCCTGGGACCCTCTGACTACCACCCTATTTCTCTCCTTTCCTTCATAGAGTTGTATTCACTTGCAGGCTCATTTGCTCACCTCCAGTTCATGCCTCAACCTTTTTTCTAACCTGGCTTTTGTCTCTACCACTCCCTTGAATCAAAGGTCCAACCTCTCTACTTCCAGATCCAACATAGATGGTTCCCTACTTGACTTGCTGAACTTCCTTCTCTGGGAGTTGTGGATGCTCACTATCCCCTCCTTTGAATTATCTTCTTTCTCAGTGTCATGACCCCACTCTTTCTGACATTCTTTCTTCCTTTCTCAGCCATTCCTCTGGCTCCTTTCTGGACGGGAAAAACTATAGAGTTAATTCAAGACTCTAGATGTTGTTATCTCCCTCCATAGAAAGTCAGTATTTGATTCTGGCAGATAGCTAGGCAAAGAGCACAAGAAGTCTTAATTTAATCAGGGATGGAGCTCATTTGAAGTCCTGGGGGGGCTAGACTATTCTGCTTCACCCTTACTCCTAGAATGCAGCTTTCAGGGTCCTAACTCAAATCCCAGGAGATTTACCAGGGTCTTCTTTCCTTGGCAGAACTAAAGTACAATTTTTGAGCCACAACCGTATGAATCTGTCCAAAGCTCTTCTCAGCTTCTCAGCCACATTTTCAGCTACAAATACCTCGAGGGAAACAGCCCCAAATTCTGGGCTCACTTCTCTGTATTTTGTTCCTCTCCCAACCACCTGGTAGGCACTTATTACTACCTTTATGGCTCTTTAATGACTTCAAACAGCTAGATTTTCTAAAATATTTTGTACAGCTTTTCTATTTTGGAAACCCTGGTGGCGTAGTGGTTAAGAGCTATGTAGTGGTTAAGAGCTATGGCTGCTAGCCAAAAGATCAGCAGTTTGAATCCACCAGGCACTCCTTGGAAACCATATGGGGTAGTTCTACTCTGTACTATAGCATCGTTATGAGTCGGAATCGACTCGACGGCAATGGGTTTGGGGTTTTTTTTGTTTTGTTTTGTTTTTTCCTACTTTGGGGTGTTGAATTATGCCACATAGTTTTTCTGCATCCATTGATATGATATGATCATATTTGTTTTTCTTCTTTAATTTGATCAAGTGGTAAATCACATCCATAGATTTTTCTAATATTAAATCATCTTTGCATTCCAAGTGTTAATCCTACTAGGTCATGATTTAGTCTATTTTAAGGCTATTGCTAGCTTCAGTTTGTGAATATATTGTTTAAGATTTTTGTGACAATGTTCATAATTGAAATTGGCTTGTAATTTTTCTCTCGTGCTGTTCTTATTTCATTTCAGTATCAATGTTATCTTAGCTTCATAAGATGAGTTAGAGATCTTTTCCCCTTTTTCATTTTATAAAACATTTTGCATAAGATAGATTATCTATACTTTAAAGTCTTTGTAGACACTATCTGTAAAACTGATGGGTTTATAGGTATATCTTCTAAATTATTGAATCAATTTGTTTAAGGATTATTGTTCTGTTCAGGGTTTATTTTACCTTCCTAGTCAATTTGATCATTCATGTTTTTCTTTTAAAAAGTCCGTTTCATCATTTTTCAAATTTATTAGTGTCAAGTAATTCACGTATTTTCTTATTATCTTTTTAATCTCTTCTGTATCTATAGTTGGAGCCCTGGTGGCATAGTGGTTAAGAGCTCGGCTGCTAACCAAAACATTGGCAGTTAGAATCCACCAGCTGCTCCCTGGAAACCCTGTGGGGCGGTTCTGTTCTGTCCTGTAGGGTCACTATGAGTCAGAATCAACAACAGGTTTGGTTTTGGTTGGTGTCTATAGTTATGTCCCCTTTTTCATTCCATAGGTTGTTTATTTGTACTCCCCTCCTCTTTTTTTTTTTTTCCGTGATCAATCTAACTAGAAATTTGTCATGTTTATTATCTTTCTGAAGAAACAACTTTGGCCTTTGTGGATCATCTCCATTGCATGTTTGTTGTCCATTTAATTAACTTCTGCTCCTGTCTTTTAAAAGTTTCCTTCTTTCTACTTTCCTTGTGTTATTCTCCTGTTCTTTTCCTAACTTCTGAGGTTGGATGCTTACCTTATTTACTTTCCATCATTCTTCTTGTCTAATTTATTGAAAGTTATAAAATTATTTAAAGATATATAAACTTCCAAATACTATTTTATATCTATTCTTCAAGTCTTGATAGATAATGTTTTTTTGTTGTTCAGTTATAAATATTTTCTTATTTCCTTTATGTTTTCTTTTTTAACCCATGAATTATTTAAACTTGTGTTAAATAATTTCCAAGTGAATGGCTTCATTTTGTCTCTTTTTTTATTTCTAATTTTAGAATAGTGTCTTCAGAGAACATGTTCTATGTCTGATTGATCTTTAGCATTTGTTGAGTCTTTCTGTATGGTCTCATGTTCCACATGTATTCAAATAGTATGCATATTTTTTAATTGTTGTTGTTGTTAGGTACTGTCGAGTCAATTTCAGCTCATAGCGAGCCCATTCAACAGAGTAGAACTGCCCCATAGGGTTTTCTAGGCTGTAATCTTTATAGGAGCAGATTGCCAGGTCTTTCTCCTGCAGACCCGCTGGGTAGGTTAGAACTGCCAACCTTTTGGTTAACAGCCGAGCGCTTAACCATTGTGTCACTAGGACTCCTTGTTCTCTCATTGGGGGATAAAGCTCTTTCTGCATCCATTCATTCAAGCTCATTAATCATGTTATTGCAACCGTCTATGTTCTTAGTAATTTACTGCCAGCCTTCAGCTACTCTTTGCTGGGCTCCCTCAATCTTCCAAATACAAGTCCTCCCCTCACCAGCCTCCTCCCTCCATGCAAAATCCACTTCTACATGGAATAAGATGTCCAAACAGAACTCTCAGTATCTTGGCAGTGGCTCTGAAAGCTGAGGACAATACAGTAGGAGCCAAACCCCTCCCCACCATGAGCTGAAGTAGGTGATAGACCCCTGCATGAGACAGTCTTGCTAGCGCTAGCATGTCAGCTACCTCTCCAGGCTGTGATAGAGAAGGTAAGGTAGGGTAGGAGAAGGTGGAGTGAGGTAAGGGCAAAACCAGCCTTTTCCCACCCCCGTAACTCATGCCTACAAGTCTGAAGTAGTCCTGAACTTAGGGAGGCAAAGAACTGCTACAGGGAGAGAGTTTTAATTAATATTCCACTGGGCTGTACTAGCAATATGTGATCAATAGAATGAACTGGCATTCATGCCATCAAAGAATGACCCAAAAAGCTATGGCACCTACCTGAGGATTTCATCTAGGGGAGGAGAAAATCAGAACCCATAAAGCCAGTTTAAAGGGGTAATAGGAAAAAGAATGAAGTTAATTTCTCCATGCATCTTCTGAGTCCAGCTCATTAAATAAATACATACATACAAAAGTCCGGAACACAGACCAATTCTAAACTCCAGTTTGTTCCCAACAACACCCATTATGTACATGACCTGTGAAACGATAATGACTTAACAGTAATGGAACTCTTACTCTGTGGCAGGCCTGTTGTAAGCTTTTGTGTGTTCACACATTTCATCTTCAGTCCTCTGGGGCAGTTATTAATAGTACCAACCTTGTTATTCAGGTGAGGCGGGGGTGGGGGGAGTCCTCACGCAGGTCAGTGCGGCTGTGATTGGACCGCTGTACTCTATGGCCAATGCCAAGGCACCTGAAAGCAGGTGCCAAAGTAATCATGTCTGTGATCTTTTCCTGTTGATCCTTCAGAACAGCGCTCTCCACAGGGAGTGCACATCAGTCACCTATGCAGCTGTTTCAAAGTTGACATGCCAGGCCTCAGCCAACTCTATAACAGAAGGACCACGGAATGGATATTTTGATAAAAGCTCCCAAGATGATTCTTAGGCACAGCCCTAGTGTGCATAAGAGGTGCCCAGAATCCTATGAGGCCTTCTAATGCAACAGAATGTCCTCCTGCCTGTTCCCTATTCAATTTTCTTTCCCTTACAGGACTGTTTTATGTGTTTTGACTTCTAGGTTCTTACTTTTTCCAAACTAGAGGTAAAGATGGAAGCAGTAGAAAGGAAAATATCTGTTAAGGAGCAAGGACTGTCTGAGAAAGAGGAACTAAACAAGAAAAGAAAGAACCAACTGACAGATGTCAATTTCCTTGGGTTTCCTCTTATCCAGGAAGAGGAAAGTGAAAAGGACTTACTCCTGAAGGACACTGACAAGCACTTGGCCCACAGGTTCAAGAACTATGAGTTGAGTTTAAAGGATATCCAAAGCATCCTCATGTATTGGGACCGGAAGCAAGGAGTTCAGCTGCCTCACACAGGGACCGACGAGGTGCCCCATGAGCCCGACGACCAGCGCCAGGTCCCATCAGGTGGGCGCAGAGGCCGCAAGGACCGGGAGAGGGAGCGCTTGGAGAAGGAGCGAGCAGAGAAAGAACGCCAGGAGCGGGAGAAGGCTGAGAGGGAGCGTCTGGAGAAGCTGAGGGCAATGGAAGAGCGCAGTGATGTGGGAGAGGGAGAAGGGGACGAGGACCATGAGGGGAAAAAGGACGTAGGTGTGCCATTCATAAACATCCAGACTCCAGACTTTGAAGGCTCAAGTTGGAAGCAGGCCCTGGAGAATGACAAGCTTCCTAAAGGAGATCAGGTACAGACTTCTTCGCCAGGGTGGACAGGTAGCAAATCAGGTAGCAGGTACTGTGCTTTTTGTCGTAAAAGTATTTCTTTCTACATAAGATCCACATTCTCTCTAATTCCATTCATCTTCAATGCCCCCTTAGATGTAAGACAGCAATTGCTAAAGGGAACTTTTTCTACCTGACAGAAAGTTCCACAGGCTTAAATTATTCCATCTAACCTCATAAGAAGCCACCTGTACATGTGATTTTTAATATTGGCAATACGAGGTCTATGGGATGGCAAGGCGTGTGCTTTGGGATAAAGCAAGAGAGTCATCTACTCTAAAACCTTTTCCCATGACCTTCCCCCAGTGACAGAAATTATACTGTTAGATAACTTTTTGTTCCTATAAACAAAAGTATTACATATCCGAAAATCACCTTTGGCAGTGGTTTGGAGGGGAGCATTATTATATCCTTTTGCCCAGGGACAAACTTTTTATGTAAAGGGCCAAACAAGAATATTTTAAGCCGTAAATCATACAGTCTCTGTTGCAACTACTCAACTCTGTGTTCATAGGGTAAAAGCAACCATTAATAAAATGTAAACAAATGGACATGGCTATATTCCAGTAAAATTTTATTTACAAAAGCAGGCCAGATTTGGCTCACAGACCACAGTTTGCTGACCTCTGCTAGGTGACACATTAGAAAGTAGGGAATAGAGCCTAAGAGGGTTGGAAATATGTCAGGTAAGGGTTGATGAAAGGACAAGGGTAATTGCTTAAGAGGTCGGACCTTGATGTGGCCTCACAATAGTGTTGCCATAGTGGTCCAGGGGCAGGGCCAAAGAGGGGAAGGTAATTTGAAGACACAACACCACTCCACTCATTTCATGATTTTGCCTCAGACCAGCCTTATATAAGCAATTTTTTTTTTTCCAGAAATGTAGTTTTTGAAAAAGTGCTATAGCCGAGAACATCTTGCTTTGTTTTATACTCTAGTATTATAGCCAAGGGCATCTTCTTGTCTTGTTTTATACTCTCCACATTCCAAGCCATAGGTTACACTGTTACTTGAAGAACTCCCTGGCTCTGGTAATTTAATAATTGGTACAAATTATTCATCCCCTTCCTCACTGACATTCTAAATCCTAGGAGTTAACTCTAGCCACACGTTAGTCAGGAAATGTATTTAGCTACCTAAGCCATAGCATGGGTCTTACTTTAAAAACACAGGACTACGTGAAGATAGTTACCTGCTCAGCCTAGGAAGCTACTTGGTCCACAGAATGGGCACTCAGATGGGCTATCACATTTACTGTTGTGACGACAGCAGTTAAAATCTAGGAATTGCATGCTTATTTGGAGGGTCTTTACATGCTGGGAAGGATGTTGTCACTAGATTTTCAGGCCACGTGCTCTGGAGAATGCCCATTCATTATGTGTTAGGGCAGGATGGGGTAATGTTGTAGGACTAAACCTTCTCTCTGTCAGGATTCTTTTTGACTTCTCTCTTTATATCCACCTCCTACCCCATCCCCAGAACTTCTGCTTTTTTCTTTACTGTTTTTGACCTGCTCCAATCTTAACTTTCTTTCACCTTTGGAAGGAAAGCATGTTTAAAACAAAAGGAAAAATTAACATGGAAACTGAAAATAGATGGAATGACTTTACTATAGACACCAGAATCTTAAGAGCTGGTCTTTTTACATTAAATGGAGATTTGCTGAGTGCCTACTGGGTGGTAGGCCATGTGTTGCATCAACCTGGTTTTCGTCCTAATCAAGTTTACAGTCCAGTTACAAAGACAGGCAATTAAACAGTCACAATAAAGTGTGATAAATAAAAGAGGCATGGGGAACCCACAACCCACAGCAGGAGTGCCCAGCCTGGTCTGGGGGCAGAAGTTTGGAAAGACCTGCAGAGCTGTGTCAGAGGTCCTTCACACCCTCCCGAAGACATGCTCTGTGTAGCAGTGTCTCCCAAGAATGCTGAGGGATGGGGTTGGGGGAGGTCTGAACCACCCAGTGCTCACACAGAGGGGCTGTTAGGGCTAGCCCGCTCTCCACACAGAGAATTAACGATAGGCTTTTCCTTTAGATCCTAGACATCTTAGGTCTGGGTTCCTCTGGACCACCCATCCCGCCTCCTGCCTTGTTCTCAATAATCCCATACCCTGTGAAGCGTCTGCCTTTGGCCCCAACGGACATCCTGAAGCATTTCATTTTTGTCATCCCACAATCAGAAGAGCTCTCCATGATGGAGGATAAAAAAGAAGTGGAGGCAGAAACAGAGCTCTTAACCCCCACGGTCACTGTAAAGGTAAAGCACGAGCAGCTTATTCTCCTGGCCTTGCAGGCCTTCAGGTGGGCAGGGAGGGAGGGCCACCCTCTACGGGGCCAGAAACAGTCTGGTTGAGGGTGGATGTCATGCTCACAGGATGGATTTTCCCCAGACCCTCCCTGGACTTGAGGATCCTGCCTAAGGTCCCTGCAGGAGCTTCCCTGGGCTACATCTCCCCTGGGTGTGACTTGTCCTACTTCCCAAGAGAGACTTAAAATGATTGACTGTCATTTCTCAACCCTTCCAATCCCCATAGGATAGTTTAGGGATCTTACTGAATTACTTTGAAGTTCATCTGCAAGAAAAAATAAGCAAAACTAGCTCTTTAGAAAAGATACTAAAATGCATACTGAAGCTAAGGTAATTCAAACAGTCCAGCAGAATTCACAGACTCAGGGAACATATACCATTCAAGAAAGGATAGACTATTAAAGATACTATGATGAGAAGATTGGACATTTTTGTTAAAGTCACTTTTTAGCTCCTTGCCTTACATAAAATAAACTCAAGCTGAATTAAAAATATTTAAAAATCAAAATAAAATCATAAAAATGGAAGACAGTATAGATTAAATTAATAGAATAAATTACAAAGAAAAAATAGACTTGACTACAATAATATACAGAAAGTATTATATTAAAAATTATAGAGGGGCTTTTTATTCCATAGGATAATGGTGGCCAAAATTTGGATTTTTCTACACAGTCTCCTACAAACCATGCACATCAGCAAAGAGAGCAAATACAATCACATATAGGGCCTGCCTACAGCACAAGTAGGTGGCAAAGAATACTAGAAACTTCATTTTACAACTAGGTAGGAAAATCAACATCTGAAGTCAGCAGCATTGGCAGGCCTGTCACACCAGAACAAAGAGTCCATGGTGAAGTTCCAAATAAAAAAGATAAAGAAGAAAAATGGCCACCATAGGAGGTGACTATGACACCACCTCCTTATTCTGAAGTTTGGCCTTTTGAGATTGGCCATGAAAAGGAAGGTGATTCTTTAACTCAGCATCTTAGGAGGAACTCCAGCTCATCCCCAGTTGACAAGGGAAACTCATTGTTCTGGAAGAATGGCAACTGAAAGAATGACAGATTTAGAAAAGCACCAGTTTGTTGCCCCTTGAGTGAAATAATTGATTAGGGACCACCAGTGAATGCAAAAAGCAGTAGGTGAAAAGTTGTGAACAAGACATTCACACAGAGCCATAGTGCCATCCCACATGTGATTTGCTGACTGCAAAGGGAAAAGCTACTCTGCAACAGAGGGGTCTCGAGGGCATCACCCTACCATGTGGACACACTTTGTATCTAATAGTGGGTCGTCCTGACATTATTTGTCCCCTGCTATGATGGAGTAGAAAGTACACAGATCAACTGTCAGTCTAGTCAAGCTTTCAAGCCTAATTTTCAGTTTACAGGGAATGAAGACATAAGTTAAATAACGCTGTGAGAATAGTCAGAACAATTCAGAATGTAGGATGTTCAGTAAGAAAACAGATCTAATCTCTCTAAAAAGTCAGTGTGATGGGGGAAGGAGGTTCTAGATTAAAAGGTATTAAAGAAATATAACCAAAAACAATATAAGAAAGTTAATTAGATACTTATTCGGAAAAAATAGCTAGTAAAGACATACTCAAGATAAATGGGAACTCTTTAATATGGACTGTGCTAGGACAATACTATTGAATTACTGTTGCTTTTCTTAGGTGTGATAATGGTCTTGTGGTAGTGTAGGAGACTGTCCTCAGAAGATATGCAGGCTAAAGTATTTAGAGGTAAAGTGTCATCATGTCCACAAAGTACTTTAAATGGTTCAGAAGACAAAATGACAGATAAAACAAATAGGGCTAACTGTTAACAACAGTTAAAACTATGTGTTCATTGTACTATGCCTTCAACTTTGATAGTTTTCCAAAATAAAAAGTTAGAAAATGATAAATAAATTAAAAGACAAAAAATAAGAATGAAATTGATCAGAAAACATTAATAAATGGGGACTTCTTATTAATCATGACAGATTAAAACAATAAGGGACTTAAAAAAATAAAGCATAAGCCCTAAGGACAAAGAAAAGGGGAGAGGAGATGGCGGCAGGTAGAATAAGTCAACAAAATATTGGGAAGTAGACTGCAGTGGGCAAGGGGCCTGCAATGCTGATAAAGCTTGAAACCTAACCAGCTATGGTGGAGCTTCAAGCTTTCTCAAAGGTTTCATCCTCCTCAGGGAATGGGGTGCCAAGGAACACAGCAGGCTCGTCACCTACCCATGAGGCTGGGCCTTGCTCTACTCTAGACAGCAGCCAGCATCCTGGGCCCACACTGCAGATGTGGTAAGCATCCAGGTCTTCTGTTCATGTGTATTTATGACCAAATGCTCATTTTTAATAAAGGCCCAAGAGGAGCAGACCACCCCATCTAAAGGAAGCAGACAGAAACTGAAAGAAAAATCGGAGCAATCCCGCGAGTCTCAGAAGGACAAACGTCGCATTGGCGTTAACAGGAAGGGCCTTTCTGGGGGAACTCCTGGAGCCATTGCCCCCCTGTCGGACATAGACCAGAACAACTTCACTGGGCAGCCCTCCCAGGAAAAATTCATCAGGTGGGCCTCCAAGAAGCTAGGGAGCGGGGATGCTGGGGCCCCAAAGCTGAGGCTGTGGCTGTCACAGCACCGGGTAGGAACAGGGCTGTTCTGCCTGTGGGACCCAACGCAGCCTCAGCAGGACAGGGTTTCTCCTAGGCAACTCTTATGTCTTCTCTTGGCCAAAAGGAAACACTGTCGTTTTAAAAACCTACACGGTCCTTTGCAGGCTGAATCATTTCCGTTGGATCGTACCAGCCAACGGTGAGGTGACTTTGAGAGTGCACTTCTCTTCTAATGATCTCGGAAACTTTGACCAAACTTTTAACTTTGAGATCCTTGGAACTTGCCGCCAGTACCAGCTCTATTGCCGGGGTGTCTGCACTTACCCGTACATTTGCCAAGACCCAAAGTAAGTATATTTTATTTTGAAAAAAAAACCGGCAGATACATTTTAGTTTTTCCCCATGATACTTTGAATAAGATGGCCCTTAATAATAATGTAGAACTGGGACAGCATCCCAGACCCTCTTGTATTGGGTTTCAGTGCCTTGGACATTGGCTAAGAGCTGCAGGAATGACATGACACCATTTGATATTGCCAGATTAAGGTAAAGAGAATGTTAATAGGTGTATTCATTTCCTAGGGCTATAGTAACAAAATACCACAAATTGGGTGGTTTATAAGAATGGAAAGGTATTGTCCCACAGTTCTGGAGGCTAGAAGTTAAAATTAACCTGTTGGTGGGGCATGCTCCTTCCAAAGCCCTAGGGAAAGATCCTTTCTTGTCTCTCTCAGCTTCTGGTAGCCGTAGGTGTACCTTGGCTTGTAGATGCATCTTTACATGCCCATCCTTCCTCTGTGTCTCTTCTCCTCTTTTATAAGGATACCATTCAGATAGGATCAGGACCTATCATACTCCAGTATGACCTCATGTTAACTGATAACATCTTCAAAGATCCTATTTCCAAACAAGGTCTTGTTCACAGGTACCAGAGATTAGGACTTCAACACATCTTTGGGAGGCCACAATTCAATCCATAACAATAGGCGTAAGGAGGAAAAAAAAGTCTTCCTCTGACAAGTTTATTTTTTCACTAGTAAGCAAATTTGAATAGGTTTCATATTTACTATAGGACTTCTTGTCCTATAACATGAATATATGGGTGAGCTTCTTTCCAAGCTTCTGAGTACCACTGTGCAGCTCACACACTCATAAAGGTGCTTGGCTGGGCAAGCTAGTGAGGTTGACTCTGCCCAGAGAAAGGGGCCTTTCGTAACTGATCCACCCAGAGAAGCATTGTTGCAGTTCTCATCGAGGAGCCACATTTTACCATGGAACTCAAAGGCTGATTAATACCTACCAGAACTAGCTTTCCATAAGGGTTTTTCTAGCTGGGAGCACTAGAACAGGCAGTCCAACTCAGCTCTATCATGGACCCCTTTTTATGGAAGACACTACTTAGAATCTTTTTCTTAAATTCAAACTATACTAGCCTCATTCAGTGGGGGATATAAAGGTTCAACCAGGTCCTCAAATTAAGAGTCACTCTGTCTCCAGATGCCTGGACCCTTTGCTGAACAGGGGGTGTTAGGTTCAGGTAAACATCATGTGGTGGCATTGAACTTTCATTCAGACAGCTTCTCCTCACCCCTTTCTGCCCTGTGTTTAGAGTGGTATTCCCTCAGAGGAAGAAGGACATAAAGACAAATGAGGTCATCTTTAAGAAGTATGTTATGAGCATGGACAGGTTTTACTTTGGGCCACTGCTTTGTGGAAAATCAAGAGATAAGTAAGTGATCAATTTTATCAAAGCAGATTTAAGACTCCTGGATTGGGCTCATGAATAATACAGGTGTGGTTCCTCATTGTTAGCTTTTACTAACACCTCCTCAGTTAGCCCTGAATCACCAGTTAGGAGAGCTGGGCTCTGGTCCCTTCTCAGGCACTCACAACTGCGTGACCCTTGGCAAGCAGTTCCTTTCGCTGGGCCTCAAAATGAAAAGAAGAAACAATGTCCCTCTTATATGTCCCTCCCTGCCAACTCCAAAAGTCTATAGAAATGATGACAACAAAAATAAGAGAGAATGCACGTTTATTTCTTATTATAAGTCACCCCAGGCTTGTCCGAGTCCAGAGCCCCCATCCACTAAGCTAGGCTGCCTTGTATTAGCAACGGTGAATATATGAATGTATATGTGTGTGTTGGGGGGAGGGTTTATACCTGCTTTGTCATGTGTGTCCAATGCCTGCCATTCCATCCTTTCCTTCCCACATGCACCGTGGAGTTTAAAACCATACACACATCTAGATCAAACCTTGCAGCCATGCGACCTTGAGCAAATTCATTTGTTCATTCATTCATTCATTTACTCATCCATTCAATAACTATTTATTAGAGAAGAGAAAGAAGTTCTACTGTGGCTGGAATGTACTGAGAAACAGGAAGAACATCCCACAGTGATGCAGGAGAGGGAGGCCAAGCTAGGATGTTTGTGGCAGGGCCTGCTTTAGTATTGTCAGATGCAAGTCTGCACAATGACATAGCCCGTGTTCTTAGCCCCTGTGCTGCTGCCTCAGTGTAACCACACTGTCCCTTTGAATTGCCTTGCACTTTGCCATCTCTTTTTCTACCTGAATTCTCATTCAATCCTCACAACCACATCTCTGTTTTTGTTCATTTCCAGGTACAAGTCATCCATCTTCCCAGGTAACATGGAGACACTGACGATCCTGAACAGTTCCCCAATGCTCGTGGAGGTGTACTTCTGTTTTCAACATGATGTCAGGGCAAACACCTACTTCTTGGAGCCCACCACCATGATTCTTAAACCCAATGAGAAACAGGTACAATTTCATGAAAACAAGGCTACTGGAGCAAGCCTTCTTGGGAAATTTGAGGCATTGGCATCCTCGATGTAAATGTACTTTCTTTTGACTCTTCCGTTAGATGCTAACCGTGTGGGCCTACCCGACTGCAGTTGGCGTCTTTGAAGACAACATCGTCTGCTGCATCAAGGAGAACCCAGAGCCAGCTATCTTCAAATTAAGCTGCCAGGGGATCCGCCCTGAACTGGAGCTGGACCACAGGCAATTGCATTTTGACCGGCTCTTGCTGCACAGGTAAGAGTTCTGGGTGATTCACCAAAGGCCTGGACTAGAAAGAAATTTAGAGTTCATTTAGTTCTAGGGTGACCAGTTCATCATAGTTTGCTCTGGACTTTACCAGTTTTAGCACTGATCTACATCCTGGGAAATTTCTCTGCCCATGTAAACTGGGATTGTTAGTAACCTTGTTTAGTTCACAGATTGTCAACCTGGGCTCGGTGGAGGGACTTCAACAGGGTCAAGGATTCCCCTAAGATCAAATGCAAAGTGTGTGCCTATATGCATTTTTCTCAGGATAGCTAATTCTCCAGGTTCTCAAACGGATCCATTACCCTAAAAAGTAAAGAATCTTTGCTCTAGAAATTAGCATACAAACAGAGAAGGTCAGACCAAAACTAGAACTTCATATATATTCATTGGAATTGTATCATTCTAAGTAGAGAATGTTTATTTCTGAGGTCCTGGGAGAGAATTTTGTAATGACATGTGTCTTACATTCCTTGATCATCACCACCAGACCCCATTCCCTAATAAATATTGATCAGTGAATTTAAGTAACAGATGAAGTAGCAAGAGTGCTTTTTCTGACCTGCCACAGCCAGTTCCACATGACTGTCAAGCAGCTGGTCTGAGTAATAACCCAAGTCTTGCCACTAACTCTGTGAGTCTGGGGCCATGAATTAACGTCTCTATGCCTCAGGGGGAAGAATTTTTTTTAAATGAACAGACCCTCAGTAAACTGTGGGACAACATCAAGCAGTCTAACATACTAACATATTACCATATTTATAATTGGTAATAGTATTAAATCAGTATTAAATTTCCTGGGTTTAATAAATGTTCTTGTTCTTAGGAAATATGCACTGAAATATTTAAAGGTAAAGGAGCACAATAGCTCCAATTTACTTTCAAATGGTTCAGAAAAAAAGTATGGATATATATGAGGGAGAGAGAATGTGAATTTGAATTCAAAGCTAAGAGGGCAAAATATAAACAATCAGTGAATCTGGGAAAGAGTGTAGAGGAATTCTTACAACTTTTCTCTAAATTTAAAATTATATCATTACATTTGAGTTAATTGGGGCTAACTTACATGAGAAAAAATTAAGAATCATACAAATTATCCCAGCCTCATAAGCTAAAAGACCTAAATGAAACAAGCAGAAAAGAAGGGCTAAGAAATTTTAAACACAGAGCCACACAAAGGAGAAATTGTGATTTTTTTTTTTTTTAATCGGTTGTGACTGACAAAATTTCTTTTGGTCACTGCAGAAAAGAATCCAAGATAGTCCTCCTCCGCAACATCACGCCCCTGCCTGTGGCCTGGCGGATCTCCAGCCTGGAGCACCTGGGCGATGACTTCACTGTGTCAATGATGCAGGGGACCATCCCCCCCAAGTCTGAGTACGGCTTGCAGGTGCACTTCCAGCCCTCCAAGCCCATCAACATCAAGAAGGCTATTCGCCTAGAGGTGAGGTTCCGCACATCCCAGATACAGTCATCAAAATGCATGCACAGTGGGTTCCCTAACACACACACACACACACACACACACACACACACACACACACACAGAGCCAGCACTCTGTGTTCCATGCTCCCATATGCTCCCCGTTTAGTAGCCCCTAGCCCACACTGTCATGCTCTGCAGAAGACTGTAAACTCTTCAAAGACAGAGACCATGTCTGTATTGTTCATAGCTGATATCCCAGTGCCAGGAACAGAAGCAATCAATAAATGTAGAATGAATGTGTAGATGGATGGATGAATGAGTGAATGATGTTACTAAACTAGGTAACCACTAGATTCCTAACTTCATGCCTCTAAACCCCGTCATCCACCAGACTTCCCTGTCTCAATAAACGTCTCCACTTTCCACCCAGTTGCTCCTGACAGACACCTGGAAATCATCCTTGATTCCCCCCTTTTCCTCACTGCCTCCCCTCCAACCCAGTCCTCCAACAACTTGTCAACTGTGCCTTCGAAATGTCCACACTGCCACCACCCTCGTCCAGGCCCCCAGGAGCCTCTCACCTGGACTTCTGCAGAGGCCTCCTGTCTTAGTCATCTAGTGCTGCTGTAACAGAAATATCACAAGTGGATGGCTTTAACAAAGAGAAGTTTATTCTTCACAGTCTAGTAAGCTACAAGTCCAAATTCAGGGCATCAGCGCCAAGGGAATGCTTTCTCTGTTGGCTCTGGAGGAAGGTCCGTTGTCATCAGTCTTCCCTTGGTCTGGGAGCTTCTCTGCACAGGAACCTCCGGACCAAAGGACATGCTCTGCTCTCAGCACTGCTTTGTTGATGGTATGAGGTTCCCATGTGTCTGTGCTCGCTTCTCTCTTTTATATCTCAAAAGAGACTGGCTTAAGACACTATCTAATCTTATAGACCTCATCAGTGTAACTGCCGCTAATCCATCTTATTACATCATAGTGATAGAGTTTACAACACATAAGGAAATCACATCAGATTACAGAATGGTACATAATCATACAATACTGGGAATCATGACCCAGCCAAGTTGACAGATATTTTGGGGGGACACAATTCAATCCATGAGACCTCCTAACTGGTTTCCCTCTTCCTGTTCCCCACAAATATCCAGAAGGATCTTTAAAATGTCAGTCAGATAAGCTTACTCTCGTTCATGAAATACTTTGCTGGCCTCCCATTGCAATAAGAATAAAGCCCAGGGTCTCATCTACCTCTGAGGCCCTGCCTGCCTCTATATCAGCATCTGCCCCTACCCTCACTTGCTGGCTTCTATCACACTTTTGTCTTTTGGCTCTTCCCTCCCTCAGCCCCTTGTCTTGCCACACCCCTGCTAGAAATGCTATCCCTGGGCCCAGTGGGGGAGCTGGCTCCTGCTTTAGAGGTCCCTAAACATCACTGCTTCAGCTAGGGCTTCCCTAACCACCCATCTAGGGAGTCCTCCGTCACATGCAATCACTCTCCCTGGTTTCCATTCTTCAGAGCACCTAATCTTTTCTGACATTAACCTGTTCTTTCTTTACTTACATGAACTCCAGGAGGACAGGATCTCACCTGACTTCTTCACCATCTGTATTAGTTTCCTGTTACTACTGTAACACATTACCACAAACTGGATGGTTTAAAACAACACAATTAATTCTCTCACAGCTCTGGAGGTCAGAAGTCCAAAATCAAGGTGTCACCAGCACCACACTTTCTCTGAAGCTCTAGGGGAGGAATCCTTCCTTGCCTGTTCTAGCTTCTGATGGCTCCAGGCATTCCTTGGCTTGTGGCTAAATCACTCCAGTCTCTGTGCCTGCCTTCCTGTGGCCTTCTGCTGTCTGTGTCTTCTGTCTCTTATAATGACATTTGTCATTGGATTTAGGTTCCATCTGGTTAATCAAAGATGAGCTCTTCTTGAGGTCCTTAATTATATCTGCAAAGACCATTTTCCTAATAAGGTCACATGCACAGGTTCTGGGGGTGAGGACATAGACATAGCTTTTGAGGGGCTACCATTCAACCCACTACATCATCATATCCAGTGTCTAGCACAGACCTGTACATATTAGGCACTCAGTAGAATCTATTGAGTGAATGCATGTATGTCACTGATTTTTGATGTTTGAATTGATCCTGCAACATGCAAGGGATCAACCAAACTTCTCCTTGAATATCTCCAAGGACAGAAAACTTACTACCACTCAAAATATCCTGATATTTTTTTTGAACAGGCCTGACTTAATTCTTCCTTGGGTTGAGTATAGATTTTCACCTTGTAATTTACACTCACTAATCCTGTCGTACATTTTTAGGCCAGTCAATGGATCTAATCTCTCTTGCCCCTTAACCCATGACAGATATTTGAAAACAGAGATTGATAGATCACTCAATGTACAAATATGTATAAAGTCCAGGGATGACAGTCAGAACCTTTAGCACCCAGTCTCTGCACAGGCTCTGGTCTATAACAGTGGATCCAGGCAACATGGCTGGTGTCCCCAGGTTCTTGGAGTCCTCCGAACAGGCCAGCTTCATCCTTTAGTTGCTGGAACATGGGAGGTTCAGAGGTTCACATGGTAGGGGATGGAAGGCAGATAGCAAGGTGATCTTAGAGAGTTCATCATGACAGCTATTTACCAACAGGTACAGAAACATTCCCATATTTTTACAACTCATATGGTATCCCTGTGTATCCCAGACAAAAAGCAGCTCTACACAAAGTAGGCTTTAAGAGTCTCCCTCAGCCCCCACCCCCCACCCCCCATGTTCTAAGGCTCCTCTGCCCCCAGATTATACTTTTTCAACATCTATACTAGGAAATGCCTTCTCTTCTGATCCCTTTTGAAAGCTCTCCAGAGAACTTGTTTTATTCTGATGGTATAACACTTAAATTGTCCTTCCTATTTCCTCAATTACAAAATTTATTTTTATCCCTTCTACTCACCTCCCCCAAGGGAGGAAGCAAAGGAAATTAAATGCTCTGGGTACTTGACATTCATCAGAAGAAAGGTACTGTATAAATTCAGGAGCTGATAATTCAAGGTTTTTTTCTATTGTTTCCTCCTGCTGCCATCTCTTCTTGCCATCTGTCAAAGGGTGAGTAGCAAAAGAAGGAAGGTAAAACTCAAGTCAATCCAATTTGCTTTATGAAACATTGGCAAAATGTTTGATGAGAGAAAAGATGGAAACTCTGAATTAAAAGCTGAGTTTGGGGATAGCTGCAAATTTTCCCTTGGCACTCAAAGCACCAAGTATAGGGAGTTGGTGACTTAGTTTCTCAACTTTAAGCTTCAGCAGAGAGGCAGGTGGTCTCCAACAGGTGCAGGTGTGCCATACCCACTACCTAGCAGCTCTTTCCTTTGACAAACAGATCCTTTATCGCCCCCTTTTTAATCTCAAGAGTCAACAGTTGGGTGGCGCCATTCAGATGTTCCTTGGAACAGTGAAAGGGATCATCAACAGGGATGAAACAGAGGGGACAACAAGCAGCTGGAGGCCATGGGTCTTGCTTTTACTGAAGAACTTTTCTCACTGCAACAGGTTTTAGATGCAGAAAATCTTGTTGGCATTGTTCAAATTGAAAACATCCTGATCTTTGCAGAATCATACGACATTGCCTTGGACATCACCTTCCCCAAAGGTCTGTTGATCCCTTCAAGGAAAGGGCAGTTTTTCACCCACTAGAAGTTCTGTGTAGATGAAGACTAGTGTGTTGTCAGTATTGTGGTGGGGAAAAGTTCTTTAAAGGATAATGCAAGCTCCAAAGTGATATTAGCCGTGTTACTACAAAACCATAGTTTTTCCAACTGGAGACAGCAAGGGGTGGTCATAAATATAAAACTTGCAGAGCTGTTGTCAGAGCAGTCTTTGAGAGTGAGCATCTCTCTTCCTGCCAGTATTAGTTTTCTATGGCTACCATAACAAGTTACTTACTTAGTGGCTTAAAGGAGCCCTGGTTGCACAGTGGTTAAGAATTACGGCTGCCAACCAAAAGGTTGGCCATTCAAATCTACCATCTAGTCCTTGGAAAACCTATGGGGCAATTCTACTCAGTCCTATAGGGTCACTATGAGTCGGAATCTACTCAACTGGTTTGGTTTTGGTTTAGCGGCTTAAAACAACACAAATTTATTATCCGACAGTTCTGGAGGTCAGAAGTCTGGCATGGGCTCACTGGGCTAAAATCAAGGTGTCAGCAAGGCTGCACTCCTTGCTAGAGGCTCCAGGGGAGAATCCATTTCCTTGCCTTTTCTAGCTTCTGAAGGCCAGCTTGTACTCCTTGGCTCATAGTCCCTTCCTCCATATTCCAAGCCAGTAACATCAGGCCAAGTCCTTCTCACTCTGCCATCTCTCTGGTTCTCCCACCTCTGCCTCTCTCTTCCATTTTAAGGACCCTTATAATTACATTGGACCCACCCAGATAATCCAGGACAACCTCCCTATTTTAAGATCAGCTAATTAGCAACTTTAATTCCACCTGCAACCTTAATTCCCCTTTGCTATGTAAGATAAAATATTCATAGATTTCAGGAATTAGGACATGAACATGTTTGGGGGCCATATTTCTGTCTCCCACACTACCCTAACACCCAGGTTAGATCTCTCCTTTTATGATACAGTTCTCCACTATCCCTCATTTTCCTATATTATGTCTTTTCAGAAGATTCATAGTGGTAAAGCTACATGTTTGCTTAGCTGTCATTTGGCTTATATGTAAAGCTATTGCAGCATTATTTGTAATAATGGAAAACTGGAAATAACCTAAATGTCTAGCAATAGTGGAATAATATTGTAGGAATAATATTTTAAATTGTATAACGGTCGTATAATGGAATCTTATGCAGCCACTAAGATCACATTTATGAAGAGTTTTTAATTATGTGGTCAAATGCTTATGATTTAATGATAAGTAAAACAATAAAAATTTATATGCAATATCCCAACTCTGTAAACTATATACTTTATACAAAAATAGAAAACAGACTGGGAAAAGTTTTAGCTGGTGGGAGACATGAAAGGACGTTTATCTTAAGATAGAAAGCTAGAGGGAGCTGCCCCACTGAACTGGGTGGAAAAGCCCTGTTTGTTGTTTGTTTGTGGAAGCTCACTTACAAGAGACTTCTAGCCACAATGTTTTCATTCATCCCTCTGCAGGAGCCGAAGGAGGCCTCGATTTTGGGATTGTGCGGGTCATGGAGGAGGTGAAGCAGCCCCTGCAACTGAAGAACCGCGGGAAATATGAGATCATTTTCAGGTAACCTGAATACCTTCAGGCACAGGACGGTGCACTCCACCACATGGGGAAAAGAGTGTTGCCTGGGAGATTAAAAAAATCAATCAAGGAAGTCATAAGAACCATCTCTACTTTTCGCCTTCCTTGGCTTCAAATGAATGGAATTCCAAATGCTAAGAGAGCAGAGACTTTCACACTGCTCTCAACTCTGCTGCTTTACAGAGACCCTAAGGGCCCCCTAGATGCACCTGGAGCCACAGGGAGGCTGCTGGTGGAGAAGAGACTGTAGGGATGAGGCTGGAGAAGCAATACAGAGACTGAGGGTGGGGAGACCTGGCTTCAAGCTCTCCTGCCCTCCCTCTGGCTCTTATCTGTTTTATAAGTTTGTCCTCTGCATAAGATTTCATATGAAGGAAGGATTTTCCAATGTATTTTTTAAACATTTTAAGAACCACTGTATTATATAGCAGTCCAAACAGTAGCCTGGTAGAATAGAGATCCATCTTGTGTGCATCCCATAAGATTAAAAACAAAACAGTAAACAAGGGAGATTCCTCAAAGAGGAAAGGGCAGCCTGGTTAGTAGAGTGGGGAGAGGTGGTTACTCAGACAAGGTCACACCACTCTTGGTGTCAGTGCCAGCACTCATGCCCAGTCAATGTCTATGAAAGGTCATCCTTCCCCAGAAGAATTCACAGTTGGTAAAGGGACCACCCCCTTGCAGTCTTTGGATAGACTTAGTGTATTCATGATAGTTTTATTTTAGTTAAAGGAATGTTGAAATGAGAGAGCTCCCACCTCAATACTACCATTAGTTAAAAGCAATGAAAATGTAAGATTTAATAAATTTTTTAAAATGCTCAACAAACCTAAAAGAAAGCCAGTGTCACTTTAGAATTAGTGTTAAATGGAATCTTGTCCATTTGTGAGCTTTGTTTTGGATTATGATAGGGCTTTGGCTCTGTCTTTTAAGTTGTGTGAGAGCCACCCACAAGTCAGGACAGGTGATCAGGGGTTTGTTAAAAGGATGTGCAGAAAAGTGAGGAGGCATAGGCACTATGCATGATGCAATTGGATGGCCAGGTCTCCTGGAGAGTGGAAATGTCATTTGGATCCCCACAGCAACCCAGATGTGCTGCTTCAATGGAAGTTCCTGCTCCTACTCCTGTCCCTTTGCCTTTCTCCTGCCTCAACTTGTGTCTGTGACTTCTTGCCTCAGCCCATCGGGCCATGATCTCTCTTCCTAGAGCATGACTCTACCCCTGCTTTCTCTCCGTGAATCCTGTGGCTTCTGCATCACTGCTCCCTCTGTGTATACTGCATTCAGACTCCCTGAAAGACAGATACGAATTAATTTAGTTGGTCTTTTTCCAGTGTCAAGTGTCCCTGTTGGTTAGAGATCTCCTGCAAGGACACCTCTCCACCACAGACTAGCCTAGAGATGGCTCTTTGCCTCAAGCACCACCAATCCCCTGCCCAGTCAATGCTGGCTAAGGTGGGGATGGTCACAGAGCACAAAGCACAGTGACCACTGTTAGGCATAGTGGTTAAACAGAGCTAGAGGCATGGAAGACACTTAATGGTTTAAGACTCTTCTCTCTAGTATCTTGGGTTCCCTGGATAATGACCTAAATGGACTTTTTATTCCTGCCTGCTAGCTTTTCTGTGGACTCATTAGGGACATCAGTGACCAATTTAAATTCCACAATCTCAGTCCAACCCAAGAAGGGCTCACTGACCACAATGGAAAAGCCCACAAATGTCCAGGTGTTGTTTCGTGCAAAAAAGGAAGTGAAGATCGAGCACCTGCCCATCCTGCGCTGTCATGTAAGAGAGCTCAAAGGGAGGGCCGGGCTTGGTGGCAGGATTGTGGGGCTCCTGTCAAAATGAAGTGTATATGGTTTATCTGTGCTTTGGCAGAGGGCTGACCTGGGTGGCAGCTACATAGGACATAGCAGGGTTTGGTCTCAACTAGCAGGCAAAAGTGGATCAGGTGAGAGGTGTGCTCAGTCATCAGAAATAGAGGTAGCAAGAAAGGAAATGTGCCCCCCAGGTGTTTGGGGAGTACCAGAGACAAGGAAGCTGAGTTCAGTCATGAAGTGCAAAAGATGAATGGGGAACTGAAAATGAAAGAGAGAGCTGGTTCATATTAATCCATGGCTGGCACACAGTAAGCTCTGCATAAGTGTTTGCTACTATTATTATTGATACAATAATAGAAAGAGAAGAAATAAGATCTTGGCTTCATGTCAGTGATGAAAGTAGGGAATGGAGTGGACACTCATGGAAATTCTGGAGACATGGTAGTGCCTGATATCCTCCCAATCGTTCTTTCCTTTCTAGATTATTGAGCCTAGTATTGTGGAAGGAGGTGAGATCATTGCCAGCATCCCAATTAAGTTTTCTGTGAATGCAGTGTTCTCCAAATACAACATCAGCCCTTCCTCCATCATCAACTTTGGGGCTTTGATCTGTGGCACTCGTAAAAGCACCACATTCACCATAGAAAATCAAGGTGTTACTGACTTCAAATACGTCCTGTATAGGCTGACGGGGGAGAGCTCCATTCATCAAAAAAAAGCGTAAGACAAGTATTTACTTAAGTCATGCCATTCCATGGTTAATTATTGCTTTACATTTTACAACGAAATTTCATATATTTTATCTAAATTGATTCGATCTGCTTTTATGGGTGACGTCACTAAGGCTTAGAAATGACTAATCCAAGATTATGCAGGAAATCACAGTAGATCTTGGTTCTGAACCCACGTCTTCTGACTCCAGATTTCTTACATTTTCTAACTGCTGTCAAATGTATGATACATTTTAGTTAGACAAATGCAAACACTTCTGCTTGGGATTGTGTCTACTGCCCTGGTGCTTCTGGTGAAGCATTACAAGACTCACTAGTAAGTCATTGTCCTATCATTCTACAAGATGTCAAGAGACTATTATATAATAAACAGCAAGTGAAATCAAAGAAATCAAAAATGCACTTCATGATGGGGATGGAAAAGGGTAGCCTGGAAATGTGGGCTAGAGATGGCATGGTGATGCCTTTGGTCTACCAGGCACTGTTATTACCTTCTCCCCATGAAGGCACTTTATCACCACTGCTAACTTAATCACTGTTCCAACAGTAAAACTCAATATTCTTCTACAGGGGTCTCTCAATCAATCACAAAAAACAACTGACCTTTTCTCACTCGATCCACAGAAAACAAATGACCTTTTTGAGTGCTTTGGCTTCCATTGTGGTTGTCATATATAAAAACCAAACCCGTTGCTGTCGAATTGATCCCGACTCATAGCAACCCTATACGACAGAGTAGAAGTGCCCCATAGGGTTTCCAAGGAGCGCCTGGTGGATTCAAACTGCCAACATTTTGGTTAGCAGCTGTAGCTTTTAACCACTGCGCTATCAGGGTTTCCATATATATATATGTATATATATATATAAATTAAGGATTTTTTTTACCAATTCCCAAGTACTTCTGTCTTAATTTTTACTTCCTAATTAATTTTTTAAAATCAGATTCACAGCATTTTCTTGCAACTTTTTTATATTCTTGTGGATATCCTTTTCCATTTTGGCAAAGTTTGAACATATTAAGAAATTTTTTGTTAAATTATCTAAA